GCCAGTACCAGATCCAGACCGGTCCTCGCCGCGGCTTCGTTTGCGGTAAGATCGGTCACACCACTGCCCGCTGTTTTCGCCGCCTAGACGACCTGTTTCGTCAGCGCTTCGGCCCTTCGCCCGACCTCTCGGACTGGCACAGCTTGCTTAGTCGTAGAGTTCAGATTTTTGACATGGACATGGATGCCATTGTTTCTGCCCTGCATGTGATGTATACAGATGACTCTAGTGTGCTCCCCTCTTATTACTCCTTGTCGCCTGGTGTAGGTGTGCCTAGCTTAGCCTCCCCTGCTGCGTCAGGCGAAGGAGCCCCTGCTTTGTTTAGCCTTGGTGCTTCCGCCGTTGCCCCGTCGCCAGCCGCCACTGCTTCGTTTTCTTTCACCTTGGACTTTGGCGCTTTCCGGTGCTTCTTCCGCGACTCTACTACGCTCACGCCGCTTCCTATTCCTGCTGCAGTTTCTCTTGCTGACCCCTCCGGCGGTCCGGTCGTCGCTCGCAGTTCCACCACCCTTCCCTGTCCTGCGGTTCCTTCGGGCTCCCTCACAGGTTTGCATATCCCCTCGTTCTCCAGGAACCTAGTTGGTGTCGGCTGTCTCCAGAACCTTGGCGTCACCACTACGTTCCCTGGTCACGAGCGGTATGCTGTCTGTACCGAGGCCGCCACCAGTGCCCCCCTGTCCACGTTCCCCCATGACCCAGTGTCTGGCCTGTTCACCCTGGACACCGTGACCCCCCCGGCAGGGGCGCCCCTTCAGGTGGCTGCGTCTACCCAGGTTGCTGCTGCCTGCTCCTGTCGGTCCCTCACTCACCGGACTCTCCTTTGGCACCACCGCCTAGGTCACCCTGCTCTCCCGCGTCTGCGTCACATGTCCCAGCATGGTCTTGTCCTTGGTCTCCCTAGCTTGTTCCCCACTTTTCCCTCCTCCCCCGCCCCTCCTTGCACGCCTTGTGTCGAGGGTCGGCTTCGCCGTGCCCCTCACTCCTCCTCGTTTCCCCCTACCGCCTCGCCGCTGCAGACCCTGCACATGGACGTCTGGGGCCCCGCCCCCTTCCATGGGCCACGTCGAGAGCACTACTTCCTAGTGCTTGTCGACAACTTCAGACGCTACACCACAGTCTTTCCCCTGGAGCGGAAGGCCGACGTGCCTGACGCTCTCATCCCCTGGCTTGTCTGTGCGCGTGTCCATCGAGGTCTCCCTGTCTTGCGTCTTCACTCCGACCGTGGTGGCGAGTTTGCCTCAGGTGTCCTTGGTCGCTTCTGTCGTGCGAAGGGCATCACCCAGACGTTCACCCTACCGGACTCCCCGCAGCAGAATGGGGTCGCTAAGCGACGCATCGGTTTGGTCATGGAGGTGGCTCACACCTCCATGATCCATGCCGGTGCATCCCATTTTCTCTGGCCATTCGCCGTGCGCTACGCGGCTCACCAGCTTAACCTGTGGCCGCACCCCCAGCGGCCGCAGGTTTTGCCGACCCTTCTTTGGACCGGGTCTCCTGGTGATGCGTCTGCGTTCCACGTCTGGGGCTGCCTTGCCCACGTTCGTGCCTCCGCCACTGACAAGCTCACTGCCCGCACTCTTCCCTGTGTCTTCCTAGGTTTCCCCCTTGACGCGTCCTACTGGCACTTCTACCACCCGCCGTCTCACCGGTTCTTTCACTCTCGCGACGTCACCTTTGACGAGTCCGTCTCCTACTACCGTCGCTTCCCCCACCGCGGTCCCCCCGTTACTCCCCCCCTGTTCCTGGTCACTCTTTCCCAGGTGGTCCCTGCACCCCCCCCCTCCCCCTCCCCATCCTGCCCCCTCTGGTGTGTCCCACGTCACCCCTCTCCCGTCGGTTGTCCCGGTTGAGGGGTCCTCTGACTCTGGTGGTCCTGCGCCGCAGTCCTTCCCATCTGTCCCTCCCCCGGTGTCAACTCCCCCACCGCCTCTGCAGCCGCCGTCGCCCCTGCTGACGCAGTCGTCGTCTTCGCTGTCGTCACCGCCGCACCCGTCGTTCCCGCCGTCGTCGCCGCCGCCGTCGCAGCAGCAGTTCGTCGACTCTGGGGGTGCCCGCGTTGGGGTGGGTGCTAGTGCTGGGGTTCCTATTGTGGCCTGCCCAGGTGGCCCTGGGGGTGGTCCTGGTGGTCGGGGGGTTTCGGACTCTGGGGGTGTTCCTTCTGGGGGTGCCGGAGTGGAGTGTTCCGGAGGTAGCCGCGGAGCAGCTTGCGGTCCCGGTGTTGGTGTTCCGCCGTCGCAGCAGCAGTCCCCGCCGGTGTCAGCCCTTCGCCTGCTCGACCTTCCGTCCCCTGACCCTGCGCATGTTCCTCTCCTGCCGTCTCCTCCTCTTCCTGTCTACGGCCCTGTCTACGGCTCGTCTTCCCCCTCGCTCCCCCCTTGTGTCCCCTCCTCTGTCTCCTCACCCGACGCCTCCGTCTCACGTCTGGTCCCGCCATCCCTCCCGCACTCGTCCTGTCTCCCCTGTCACGCGCTCCCACCCTATGTTGCTCCGTTCCCATGCGTCTCGTCCTCCCCTTCTACCGTCGCCTCCTCCGTCCTCTCTAACCGTTGCGCCTCCTCCTCTATCTGACTTCCTTCGTGCCGCGCGTCCTCTTGTTCCTCGGGTCCTCGCCTCTCTCTTTACCGACCCGTCCGTTCCGGTCTCGTATCTTGACGCCCTTGTCGCTGCGGTCGCTGACTTCGCCTCTACCCGCCGCCTTGACTACGCCTCCGCTCTGGTCTCTGACCCTGCCTGTCCTCCGTCTGTCGGGGGTGCTCCTGCCCTCGGCAGTGACGTCCTGGAGGACCGCCAGTTTGAGCTTGCTTTCCTGTCCTAGGCTGCTCCCCATCTCTGTTCCATGCTGCTAGTCCCTGAGGGTGACCAAGACGCTTTCGACATCCCGACCCCTCTCACTTACGCTGAGGCGACCTCGGGTACCTGGGCCTCTCAGTGGATAGCTGCCATGGAGCAGGAGATGGCATCTTGGAGATCCACCGGTACCTTCGTCGACGCAGTTCCCCCACGTGGGGTGAACGTAGTCGATGGCCGCTGGCTCTTCAAGGTGAAGCGCCCTCCTGGAGAGCCGCCGGTGTTCAAGGCGCGCTACGTCGCTAGAGGCTTCAGTCAGCGTGAGGGGGTGGACTTCTTCCAGACCTTCGCTCCGACCCCGAAGACGACTACTCTTCGGGTTCTGTTACACCTAGCTGCTCAGCGTGACTACGAGCTTCACTCCCTCGACTTCTCCACTGCCTTCCTTCAGGGCAGCCTACATGAGCAGGTCTACCTGCGTCGCACTCAGGGCTTCACTGGCACCTTCCCTCCTGGGACCCAGTGGCTCCTGCGGCGTCCCGTCTACGGCCTGCGGCAGGCTCCCCGTGAGTGGCATGACACGTTGCGTGCTACGCTTGCTGACCTGCAATTCTTTCCGTCCTCCGCAGACCCCTCACTCTTCGTTCGTGCTGGCCAGACTCCGTTCTACATCCTTGTTTACGTGGACGACCTGGTCTTTGCCACAGCAGACAGGGACGCACTGGCCTCCGTGAAGGTCGAGCTGCTGAAGAGACACACTTGCACTGACCTTGGAGAATTGCGTCGTTACCTTGGTTTGCAGATCTCCAGGGATAGAGCAGCACGCACCATCACTTTGAATCGGTCACACTTGGTGCGCCAAGTCCTTCAGAGGTTCGGCCTTCAGTTCTCCTCCGCACAGCCCACCCCTCTTCTTGTAGACCACAGGCTCTCCGCTCCAATTCCTGAGGAGTCAGCAGAGCCCAGTGGTCCTTACGCAGAGCTGGTGGGTTGCCTCATATACCTGATGACTTGCACTCGCCCAGATCTCGCATACCCTCTCAGCATCCTGGCTCACTTTGTAGCCACTGGTAGACACCGACCGCAGCACTGGTCTGCCGCTAGGAGGGTTTTGCGTTATCTTGCAAGTACATCGGGCATGGGGTTAGTGCTAGGAGGACGCAGGTCAGTGGTCCTTACTGGACACACAGACGCGTCTTGGGCAGACGATGCCGAGACACTCAGGTCTTCCTAGAGCTACTGCTTCAGCCTTGGTTCAAGTATCGTCTCGTGGAGAGCTACCCGCTCCTCATCTGTTGCCCAGTCCAGCTGTGAGGCCGAGATCTACGCCGGTGCCATGGCGGCACAGGAGCTCCGCTGGCTGACCTTCTTGCTCACTGACTTAGGTGAGCGGCCTAGCTCCGCTTTGGTCTTGTATGCTGACAACAGGGCCATGATCCTCCTGTGTCAGGAGCCTCGTCTTGAGGGCAGAGCGAAGCATATCCAGCTGCGGTACTTCCTTCTGCGCGACCTATAGCAGCGCCGCCAGTCTCGCGTAGTACACTTGGCCTCAGGTGCCAACACTGCTGATATCTTTATGAAGGCGCTCGCGCCTAAAGATCATCAGCGGCACTGTGTACAGCTTGGTCTAGTTCTTGTAGCCTCTCACTTGCTAGGGCCTTGACTTTGTGCTGTCCTTTATATATATATATTTACTCAGACTGGACTTGTGTCCTCTCCCTGTGGCTGGACTAGTAGTGCCGCCCTTAGCTGTTTGTTCAGGACCTGCCCCTATGCAGTCTAGGGGGTGTGTCATGAAATAAATCGACAGGTGTTGTAGTAGACGAAGTATAAAACTATAAACACGAACACTTGGCAAATCCTCAAGTGTTAGTCCAGGATCTTTGCTCGAATGGTAGACTAGTAAGACAGCGGAAGTCTTGTAAGATGTAAAGGTCAAGGTTGAATAACCTGAGTATGTGACCTTGTGAGTAATCAAAGTTAATAATGAAAAAGACCTAACCGAGATTTATAGTTCTTCGAAAAGTACCTATTCGCTAATGTACCTGTTTGTCACTATCGCGCTATGCGCCCTAGACGATAATGAAGGGGTGCGACTGTTCGCGTGACTGAAACGACTGTCCTATGACGAGCGCTATTTGCTGACGTCATCCTACGGACTTATCTTCTACAGTATGACTCGACACTAACTACACATAATCGACTTACAGAAATGCTAAGTATCAATTATATCACAACATGTCAAACATGTGCATCTCTAATGTTTGTATAGACTGTATAGGGTTGCCTCTTAGAGGGTACAACACTTAGGTACTCTCTCTTGCTAATTCAATTCTCTCAGTTCTAAGAGAAAGGCCCAGGAGGCTCGAACTGAAAGGTCTGGAACCCTATTGCTGGTTCGGGACTGTTCGAGTCGTACGCCCTGTAGCAAGCCTCAGTAAGGAATTACTAATTCCTTACACAAACAAATGTTGTATCCCTCGCTCCGCTTGCCTGCTTGCTCAACCACTCGCCCACTCAGCCCCATCCTTGCACTTCTGTCGGACCTCTCAATATATGCCCTGCCATGCCAAGCCCGTCGGCAGACAAATTCTAGACTTCTGAGATCACTGGGGAATTAGGGTGATGTCGCGTTGAGAAAAAAATGATGGACACGCCTGACCTGAGGCCTGTGTCATCATCACCAGGCTGGCTGTTTGCATAACATTAGTTGTAGATATTGATTCTTGCGTCGACTCGGAAGATTCAGGAATCAGGGCAATATGGTTTCGAGAGACGAAATGCGCGAACCCGTTTGAGATCTCCTTCGTCGATCCTGCTGTTCACATCGGCATCGAACGTAGATGACGCTGGTGACAAAACATCGTCTAGGTTCACCAACCTCCTTCCGAATCCCCCCTCGAAGCTGCAGATCAAGCAACGGAACGAACGCGGAAGATCATTTGCACAGAAAAGGGATGAGGGCTCACGGCTCTAGAATTCAGTTGAAATGGAAGCGGCAAAATGTCGAGCTGAGTCAGCAGCAGCATTCCAGCAAACCCACCTCGATCCAGTCCTCTGTGTGATGTCGTACGACGCGCTCCGGCTATGGACAGTCTTGCGTGGCCTGTCACTCGGGAGTCTCTGCCGTTGCTGCACCGGAGAACCTTTGAGAGGGGAGTTGAGCCGTGCGTATGATGCTTTAGGCGGGAGCTGTTCCCGCAGCAGCAGCTGCTGCGATTGATATTGCTGCTGCTGCTGCTTCTGCTGTTGCTGAGACAAGGATCGATTGAATGTCAGTGGTGAGGAGTGTACTGAGGAGGAGTCGAACTGGTGTTCCATACTTCTCCTCTTAGGCGGCCTTAGCTGCGCTGCTTCCTGCACATCTGATTCGGCTGCTCCTGGCGATACCCCAACCCCACATGCTGCTACTGATGGGCCGGCTGCTGAAGGCAATGACGACGAAGATGGCAAAGTGGCACTTGCCAGCCTTGCTCTGTCGAGCACATCCAGATCTAGCACCAGTGATGATGCTGCAGCACTTGCTGCTGCTGCTGCTGCTGCTGCTGCATCAGAGCTGGCAAAACTACCACCAGTGCAACTATCACCTGCACTCGCCGCCCGGTGAAACCAAGGGGCACTGTGCATATCACCTGCTAGGCTATCATCAGCACTGCTATCACCAGCAGCAAGGCTATCATCAGCACTGTAAGCACGGTGAAAGGGACCAGAAGCAGTGGAGGGCCGAGCAGGAAGAGGGTCAGCTGTGTGGTGACCTGAGAAATAAACCTGACTGGAAGGAGATGCAGAGGCGGGAGGAGTGAGAGAATCGCCAGCGCTAGAGGCACGGTGGAAGGAGCCCGAAGCAGTGGAGGGACGTGTGACAGGGGAAGCCCTGCGGAGATTCGGACCATTGACTTGTTTGGAAGGAGCGGCAGAGGCAGGAGAAGCGCGAGGATTGCCCGCACTAGAAGCACGGTGAAAGGGGCCAGAGGCAGTGGAGGGACGTGCGACATGGGGCGCTCTGATTAGACTTGAACCGCTGAGATTGGAAGAAGAGGCAGAGGCGGGAGAAGCGAGGGCATCGCCAGCACTGGAGGCACGGAGAAAGGCGCCAGAAGAGGTGGAGGGACGTGTGACAGTGCTGCTGTGTTTCCTCGAGGGGTTGCTTGGGGAAGGGGAGAAGTCCGGGAGGATGGATGCTGCGGAATAGCCTGTCTGCCGTCGGATGTTTTCCGGATCCAGATGCTTCTCCCGACTCCACTCCAGGCCCTGCAAGGGTTTGAAGGGAGGGGAACGGATTTCTGGGGTTTAAGGCGGGATGCTAGGGGGGAAGGATGCTGCAGAATAGCCTGTCTGCTGCCGAATGTTTTCCGGGCCCAGGTGATTCTCCCGAGTCCACTCCAGGCCCTGCAAGGGTTTGACGAGGGAGGGGAACGGAATTTGAAGGGGAGAAGTCTTGGGGGAGGGATGCTGAGGGAAAAAGGGATTGCAGTGAGGAAGGGTAGCTTAGGGAAGAAAGTATTTAGGTGGCTATTAATGTGCGAAAGACAATGTTGCGGTGGAATCTACTCCTGCTTCTGGTATGGCCACATGGTTTTGGGAGGAGGGATAAGTGGCGGGGACATGCAAGGGGATGGGGGTGGCAGGGAATAACGGGATATGTGCAGTGAAGCGCCTTAGTAGAAGGAGCCACAGGTGATAAAGATCAATGGTACACAGAAAGGTGCATACGATCGCCAAGAGAATGTAACAGATCGGCAAGCTGTGATCTTAGCAGCGTCTCACCTTGTTGAATTTATCCATTAAATCGTCCATGGTCCGTTGCATGGTAACCACACCCTCCTGGGACGTCTCAATGATCCTATGTACAGCTGCCATGCCGGGTAGCACGTTAGACACGTTAGCCACACTTGCCACACTTGCAATACCCCCCACTTTCGGGACCATGGCAGTCACACTACCCACACTGGCCAAACCTTTAACTTTCGGAAACAAGTTAGTAACACTAGTACTGCTGTTGTTAGTGCTGTTGGCAGCATAGGCTGCTTTAGGGAATGCTGCTCTTGGTTGCACATTGGCAGCCATGTCGAGCGATGCACCCACGGAGGATAGAATCTTAGTTGACACCTGGTCTGCTGCTCTGTTCACCACTGCTTTGGCTGCTGCGGTAGCAGGGGTAGTAGCAGCGGCAGTGCTGGCAGCAGTAGCAGGGGTGGCAGGGGTGGCAGGGGTGGCAGGGGTGGCAGGGGTGGCAGGGATGGCAGGGGTGGCAGGGGTGGCAGGGGTGGCAGGGGTGACAGGGGTGGCAGGGGTGGCAGGGATGGCAGGGGTGGCAGGGGTAGCAGCAGCGACTGTGGTGGCAGGGGTGGCAGGGGTAGCAGCAGTGGCAGGAGTGGCAGTGGTGTTAGCAGTTGCAGCACTATCAGCAGCAGGAGCGGCGGCAAACGTGACTCCGGAAGTGACTGATCGATTTGCTTCAATTGCAGCTGCTTCTGCTGTTGTGTCTGCTGCTTCTGCAAATCCTGGTGCCGATGCTGGTGCTGGTGCTGCTGTTGCTGCTGCTGCTGCTGCTGGCGCTGGTGCTGGTGCTGGTGCTGGTGCGGCTGCTGCTGCTGATGCTGCTGCTGCTGGCGCTGGCGCTGGTGCTGGTGCTGGCGCTGCTGCTGCTGCTGCTGCTGCTCCTGCTGCTGCTGCTGCTGCTGCTGCTGCTGCTGCTGCTGCTGCTGCTGCTGGTGCTGGTGGTGGTGCTGGTGCTGATGCTGGTGCTGGTGCTGGTGCTGGTGCTGGTGCTGGTGCTGGTGCTGGTGCTGGTGCTGGTGCTGATGCTGTGGCTGTTGCTACTGCTACTGCTGCTGTTGCTGCCAGTGCTGCTGGATTCTCGATTGAGATGGGAACCAAAGAATTGGCCCGACTAAATGAACTACCAGTAGCAGTAACAGCATCCGAAGCAGCAGCAGCACCCGAGCTAGAAGAAGCAGCAGTACCAGAGCTAGAAGCAAGCACCGCACCAGACTCAACTACAGCAGTAGCGGACTGAGTGCGCCCCTCATCTCCACCCCCCAACTCCCCATCCCCTTCCTCCCCCTTCCCATCCGCTTCCCTCCTCTCTCCATCCCCTTCCTTCCCCTTCTCATCCCCACCCCCCCCCTCCTCCCCGTCTTCCTCAAGCAGGGCATCTAAAACCGCCAGCTGCTTGCTCCCCTGCCTTGACCCCCCCAGGCCTCCATGTCGCGACCCCCCTTGGTACGGCAAGCTGGCACCGGGGATCAGGTCAGCTGGACTGGATGCGGCAGATGTGGCAGATGGGTGGAGGAAAGGAATGCAACTGGCGGCGGCGTTCCTGGTGGCAGTGCTGTGGCTGGTGCTCGCGACCCCAGCACCAAACGCAAAGCCGCTGCTGATGCATCTGCTGCCACTGCTAAAGAGGAGGGGTTTGCTGCTGCTGCCGCCACCGCTGCAGCTGCTGCTGCTGCTGCTGCTGCCGCCTTTAAAGAGCGGGGTTGTGCTGCTGCTGCCATAACTGCCAGCTGGTGAGGCTGCAGCGTCCCAAGAGCCGAGCCCGCATGAAAGGCCGTTATAAGAGGAGCCAGCACGCAGCGAGCACACTAAAGCATCTCCCCTGCCCCTCACACCAGCCCTACCATTGTCATCCTCCTCCCCCTCCTCATCAGCATAATTGTCAATATTGTTTTCGCCGCCGTCGTCGTTGTCCCGTCTGTAGTAAGCATAAGGATCCCTGGCAAGGTCTGGATGGCGTGTGTTGTTGTCAGAGCACCGCTCCTGGTGCTCCTGGTGCTCCTGGCCATACCACAGCTCACCCTCCTGCTGCTCCATGTGCCACTGCTGGAGATCTTGGTGCCCGTGTGTTTCCCTGTGGTGTTGCCAGCACCATTCGCAGCACAGAAAGAAACGACAGACACTTGAGAATAAATTAGGCGAATAGACTTATGTATGTTGGATGTAAATGCAACCACAGTGCTCACCGGATGTAACGGGAACCGCGGAAGATGAGGAGGGCAAGTAAATGACACAGCTGGGGAATGAATGAAACAGGCGGATCACTTCTAAACGTTGAATGGAACTGTAACGCTTGTGCTTACCGGATGTAACGGTAACCACAGTGGACAGAGAACTTACTGGATGTAACGGTAACCACAGTGGACAGAGAACTTACTGGATGTAACAGTAACCGCGGTGGACAGAGAACTTACTGGATGTAACGGTAACCGCGGTGGATGAGGAGAGCGACATAGCCGGTGCAGCAGAGGACAGAGACGGCAGCATAGAGAATGAAAAGGGCAGAGAACTTCTGAGCATCGAGCTGAGCAAACACTGCAGAGTTAGATTGGTCGTCGCTGCAGATGCTGTCCTTCTGAGGAGGGGGGCAGTTGGAGAGGGGAGAGCGAGATGGGAGAGGGCAGGGTGGGAGGGGATTCTGGCAAGGGCTGAGAAAACACTGCAGAGTTAAGACTGCTCGCCGCTGCAGATGCTGTACTTCCGAGGAAGGAAGGGAGGGGGGGGGGGGGGGCGGAGAGAGAGGGGGGAATGAAGTTCGTTTCTTAGGCACCAAATTGAAAGCGCCTTTTGAATATCGAGCTGAGCGTACACTGCAGAGCTGGGGGACTGGTCGCCGCTGCAGATGCTGTCCTTCTGGAGGGGGGAAGAGGGGAGAAAGGAGGGCGAGAGGGGAGGGGGAGGGGCGTCAGCGGATTGTAGGCAAGGATGAGGACAACCATTCGAATGTTGAGCTGAGCGAACACAGCAGAGCTGGAGGACTGGTCGCCGGTGCAGATGAAGCAGGAGGTGGTGGAGCAGCAGAGGATGAAAGAGGTGAGATCAGCGCCTGTCCTTAAGAATCCAACTAGTGGGGTCAGGGCATCGGGTTGGTGTGCGAGGTGAGACCTGTAGGATGCCATTGGGATGCCACAGATCTGTGAGATCTGTGGCCCGGGGGAAACGGGAGGATGGGCGGCAGCAGATGACGCAGCAGGAGGCCATAGAGTTTCTGAGAATTCTGCAGGGAGTTTTTTGAGAATTCTCAAAAACACCCTGCAAAAACATAGAAGTGCAGCAGATGAACAGAGGTGAGGCCCGTGTTCAATTCAGAGATGTTGAATTGCGCAGACCAGGCAGCAGATGAAGCAGGAGGTCGTAGAGCTGCAGCGGATGATATACCACAGGTGAGTCTGGGAGGGGTTGTCCTTCTGAAAGGGGGGCGGGGGGAGTGGAGCAGGAGGGGCGGTAGCGTGGATGGGTGAGCGGAAGGAAGGAACTTTGGATGCTGAGCTGGGAGAATAAAGCAGTGGAGGACTGGTCAAGGGGAGGGGGGGGGGAGAGGGGGGAAGGCATTCTGTTTCTGAGGCGCCAAATAGAACACGACTTCTCAATGTTGAGCTGAGAGAATACTGCAGATGTGGTCGACTGGTCGTCACCGCACATGCTGTCCTTCTGAAGGGGGTTGGGGGGAGGGGAAGAGGGTGGAAAAGAGTTGTGGTTTAGTTGGTCTCTTGTAACGGGATTGAAGACTAAAAATGGAACTCACCTAAGAGGCAGATTGCGATTGTTGCACTGCACATGGAGAAGTGCTGACAATGAGAGCTGTTGCTGAGAACTCATGCACATGACTTGATTGATTCTACGTCACCCAACTGTAAGTACTGTGTCTTGAGCCGCTCCAGTCCAGCTCGCCTACTTTTTTTGAGGCGCCTAAAAAAAAAGAGCCTCGTCAGCTCGCCTAGCGTCTGAAAGACCGATGACGGCCTGTGAGAGCCTTTTGAGGCGACTCAAAGGTCAACTTGCAAGAGCCCGTCCGAATGCTTTCTCTAATCTCTAATCTGATGTACCAAAAAAATAAGAAAAGTAACGCCCACCTGCAGGTACTGCGTCTTGAGCCTCGGCATCTCGCCTAGCATCTGAAGATCGATGATGGCCTCGGAGATCTTGCATATGCTTTCTCTAATCTCTTATCTTCTGTGCAACAAAGCGAAACAAAGCACCCACCTGTAAGTACTGCGTCTTGAGCCGCTCCAGCTCGCCCAGCATCTGAAGATCGATGATGGCCTGCGAGATGTCCACTCCCAGCTGGGAGCCCTTGGGGAAGGCCTGCGAGGAGGGGAAGAAGATGGGAAGAGGCAGTGGCAGTGGGGACATGAGGGGAGGGACGAAGATCGATGATGGCCTGCGAGATGTCTACTCCCAGCTGGGAAGCCCGTGGGGAATGCCTGAGAAGCAAGGCGCAGGGGAACGGGCAGGCGAGGAGGAGAGAGGAGGGGAGGAGGCCGAGATGGGATGAGGAAATGGAGGCAGGGATGGCTTGGCATGAGAGATGTTCACGCCCGGCTGAGAGGCCTTGAAAACGCCTGAAGTTCACTGGTGAGAGGAAAAGAGGGGAAAACGAGACCTGAAAAACAACAACGCATCTCAGCTAGCATACACGCACACCGTAGCACACCCATGCACTTGCTGCATCTAGCACTCACAAAAACGAGGTTGAGAACAGAGAAGGGCTGAGGCGCAGAATGCAGACACGTCGCAGAATGCAGCAGCGAAGGGCTGAAGGCTGAAGGGCTGAGGGCTGAAGGGCTGAGGGCCACGTCGCAGAATGCAGCAGCAGCAGCAGCGAAGAGGTTGAGATCAAGACAGTGCTTTCCGGGTGCTTTTGAGTGCAGCACAGTTGCACGCTCGCACACATTCATATATGTCGCACTCCCCAAGGCCTGGTGCAGTTGCACGCCCGCCCACACACTTTCATAAATATCTTGCATAATCGACAGCCACATGGCGAATTCTGAACTCACAAAGGCGAGGCTGAGAACGGAGAAGGGCTGAGGCGCCTGAGCCACATCGCAGAAGGCAGCAGCGAGGAGGTTGAGGTAGGGGTCCTCGTCGACTATCACTGTGACTCGGCCTGATGAGAGAGAGGAGGAGAACTCGCTCTCCCCAGCCAGGGATATCAGCTTGTCCTGGTGTGGAGGGACGAGAGTGGGGGGGAGGGGAGAGAGAGAATGCAGTGGTGAGGAGGTTGAGGTAGGGGACCTCGTCCACGATCACTGTCACGCGGCCGGAGGAAAGCGATGAGGAGAACTGGCTCTCTGCAGCCAGCGATATCAGATTGTCCTGAAGGGGTTCCGTGTGCGGAGAGGTGGGGGGAGTGGGGGGAAGGAGGAGGAGAACTCGTTCTCCCCAGCCAGAGATATCCGCTTGTCCTAAAGGGGGTCGGGGGAGGAGGGGGGATATGAAGCAACGAAGGGGGTAAGGTAGGGGTGTTCGTCCATTATCACTATCATGTGGCTGGAGGAGACGGGGGAGGGGAGGGGGGAGGAGAGGGGGGAGGAGAGGGGGGAGGAGAGGGGGGAGGAGAGGGGGGAGGAGAGGGGGGAGGAGAGGGGGGAGGAGAGAGGGGAGGAGAGGGGGGAGGAGAGGGGGGAGGAGAGGGTGGAGGAGAGGGGGGAGGAGAGGGGAGGAGATGGGGGAGGAAAGGGGGGAGGAGAACTCGGTATCTCCTGTGAGGAATATCAGCTTGCCCCGGTGTGTGTGTGGGGGGGAGTCCAAGAGTGGAAGAGTGGGGGGGAGAGAATGCAGCAGCGAGGAGGTTGAGGGGAGACATGGGTATGAGATGAGCCTGGCTCGGCTCGCCTCGAGCCGGGTCCTCAAGATGCCCGGCTCAGCTCGAGAAAATGGGGTCGAGCCAGGGCCGGCTCGCCGGCGAGCCAGCTCGGCTCGGCTCGTTAAGAGGGGGGCTTGATTGAGTGGGCTCTCAATTGGGCCCACGGGGTTTGGGGTCTCTACTCCGGCCTGGGGGACGGTCCAGATTGTTTAGCTAATCGTCTGCTTCTATGTTTGGGGCGTGTGTACAAGTTAAGGTGATCGCGCGCCCTAATGTTGCCCTACCGAGCGCCCTCCAGCCCTCTGCAGCGCGGGACTAGGCCTACATGGACGTGCGCCCAAGTCTAAACCCTAGTGCGCACTTAGCGCACGCCAAGGCCTCGGTGGGCACGCACGCCTAGGGCTGTCGTGGAGCGCGCTCTAATTAATACAGCTCTTACATCTTGCAAAACTATCAGGAGGTGCTGCAGGTTTAATAAGGCTGGCTGAGGGCGATAAACTACGTTGGCAGGGTGAGGTTAGGGTTGGCATACGAAATGGGCACGGGGGGGGGGGGTGTTGTCGATCTGAAATTTGATAGTCGCGAACCCCCCCTTTCCTGAGCCGCGAGCCTTCTGGCTCGAAATCGAGCAAGCTCAAGCCGGCTCGACTCCGGCTCGCCTCATTTTGCGTGCCCGAGCCGAGCCGTGCCGCCGGCTCGAGACGAGCCGGGTACCAGAAAAAAGAGGCTCGGCTCGCCTAGCCAGGTTTGGCTTGGATAGTGCCCATGTCTAGTTGAGGGACGCGTCCTTGTCGACTATCACTGTGACACGGCCCGAAGAGAGGGAGGAATGGGAGGGGTAGGAGGGGGGGGCAGCGGTGGTGCAGCAGCGAGGAGGTTGAGGTAGGAAGGAGACCTCGTTCACTATCACTGTCATGCGGCCGAGGAGAGAAGGGAGCAACACCCAGCTAGAGCGGGTAGGGTGGAGACTAACAAGGCAACTGAATCAACACTCACCGGAGCAACACCCAGCTGTAACAGATAGGCGTGCACAAAGGAGCCCTGCTGGTAGCCAATGGGTGAATTGCTGGTGAGCGCTGAATAGATGTCCTGTTGTAGGTTGAGGAGAGATGAAGGCGAGCGTGGGATGTGCTTATAGGGGAGAAAATGTTTGTATTGCGCCTGCTAAGTGAAGAACATCTTACAATGCATACACTCAGAGGGAAAAAACAAATCAATAAAACGCACATGCTTATAAAAGGGAAGCTTATAAAGATCCGCGGAACCATCTTCTGCAAATGTCAGCACAGAGGTAAGTTGACAGAGTAGGATATGGGTGAAACGAAGGAGAGCAGCAGCCACAGCGACATGTGCTTATAGGGAGGGAGGCAGCTTACAAGGATTTGCGGGACGAGCTTCTGCTGTGTGAGGATGGAGGTGAGGCTGGCAGTGTAGGATGTGGCTATAATGAAGGAGAGCAGCAGCCAGAGCGACACCACTATCCGTGCGAGCGTTGAGCGGATGTGGTACACTGGAGAGAGAGGAGAGAGAGGAGAAAAAGGAGAGAAAGGAGAAAGGAGCAAAGCACATGCAGACTGTCATGCATGGCACGTGGACGTGATTGTCATGCATGGCACGTGGACGTGATTGTCATGCATGGCACGTGGACGTGATTGTCATGCATGGCACGTGGACGTGATTGTCATGCATGTCACGTGGACGTGATTGTCATGCATGGCATGTGGACGTGGTTGGGAGGTAATGGGAAACACTGGAGAGAGGAGCGAGTCGAAGCAGACACAGATTGCAGTGAAGGAGGACACAGATTGCAGTGAAGGAGGACACAGATTGCAGTGAAGGAGGGCACAGATTGCAGTGAAGGAGGGCACAGATTGCAGTGAAGGAGGGCACAGATTGCAGTGAAGGAGGACACAGATTGCAGTGAAGGAGGGCACAGATTGCAGTGAAGGAGGACACAGATTGCAGTGAAGGAGGGCACCAGATGAAGCAATGATGGACTTGTTGGCTGTTCCACTGAGATGAGACTACCATGTTAAAGCACTGACTGCAGTTCCTTGTGACATTCGTGGAGGGGAGGAAAGAAGCAAGTTGGGAGGAGGAGAGAATAGCAGAGAGAGGAAGGAAGAGAGAAGGGGAGGAGAGGGCGAGAGAGGTCGCACCAGGAATGTTGTAGAATGTGACCCAGCCATACCTGCAAGGCGAGAGCCATGGGTAGAAAGGAAAGGGACGACAAAGTGAGAGTGTGTGTGAGTCCGCGTGTGAGTCAGTGTGTGAGTCAGTGTGTGAGTCAGTGTGTGTGAGTCAGTGTGTGTGAGTATGTGTGAGTCAGTGTGTGTGAGTCAGTGTGTGAGTCAGTGTGTGTGAGTCAGTGTGTGTGAGTCAGTATGTGTGAGTCAGTGTGTGTGAGTCAGTGTGTGTGAGTCAGTGTGTGTGAGTCAACATTTCTTGGAACGCAGGTGTCACGGCCAGCAGCACGCCCAGCAGCACGGCCAGCAGCACGGCCAGCAGCACGGCCAGCAGCACGGCCAGCAGCACGCCCAGCAGCACGCCCAGCAGCACGGCCAGCAGCACGCCCAGCAGCACGCCCAGCAGCAGCATGGCCAGCAGTACGGCCAGCAGCACAGCCAGCAGCACGGCCAGCAGCACGCCCAGCAGCACGCCCAGCAGCACGCCCAGCAGTACGCCCAGCAGCACGCCCAGCAGCAGCATGGCCAGCAGTACGGCCAGCAGCACGGCCAGCAGCACGGCCAGCAGCACGGCCAGCAGCATGGCCAGCAGTACGGCCAGCAGCACGGCCAGCAGCACGGCCAGCAGCATGGCCAGCAGCACGGCCAGCAAGCTGGAGAGCACACACAGGGCTGCAGTGACTCCAAAGCAGCCCACTCACCACACGGCTGTCAGCATCCGCGTGTGCAGCTTGCCCTGGAATGCCGGTGTCACGTGTCCGTCTAGAAGCACTGCAACAAGGCCTGTGAACACACACAGGGCTGCAGTGACAGCCCACATGGCAGGCGTGAAGGGGTCAAAGGCCAGCCAGGGGTTGGTGTAGGGGCGCGAGTAGCCGATCACGCCCAGCCCTGATTGCTGCAGGTGTCGCCGACAGGAGGAAGGAAAGCAGGGGGTGGGGAAGAAAGGGATGGCATTTACTAGTGGACTCGGAAGGCCAGCCAGGGGTTGGTGTAGGGGCGCGAGTAGCCCATCACGCCCAGCCCTGATTGCTGGGAGGGAGAACAGACGGGAGAAAGGAAGGTGGGCGAGAGGGGGGGGGGAGGGGGAGGGGTGGGTGGGGAGGCATATGAGTCGAATCAAAGGCCAGCCAGGGGTTGGTGTAGGGGCGTGAATAGCCGATAACTCCCAGCCCTGATTGCCACAGATGGCACAGCCAGGAGGAAGGGCAGGAGGGGGTGTGGAGTGGGGAAAGGGGTGGGTGGATGGCATAAGAGTGAACAACCCCAGCCCTGATTGCTGCGAGTGGCAAAGGATAGACGACGGCGGGAAAGGGATGCGGGTTGGGATTGGTGAGCCGCTCGTGGAGACATGCCTTGTGGGTAATTTAGTTTTGAGGCGCCTCAAAACTCGACATGTATCACGCGGATTGGTGAGCCGCTCGCTTGTGGAAACATGGGACGTGTGTAACCATGTGCCTGCCCAGGTGTATTTTGAGTCGACTCAAAATAAACATGGGACATGTGTAACCATGCGCCTGCCCAGGTGTATTTTGAGTCGACTCAAAATAAACATGGGACATGTGTAACCATGCGCCTGCCTTCCTCTGGGCAGTCACTTCCCGACTCAATTGGCCGACCCACACACACCCACCTCCATTGCCCCGCACGCACTTGAATGGGGTGGGTGAAGTAGACGACTTTGCTCCTGGAGTCAAGCACTGTGATGTCCCCCACTGCCGCATCGTATGTCTGCCGGGGCACATACAACACAAGTGCAGACAAAGGGCAATGCAAGGGGAAATAGAGGAGGGACTCATATTCGCATGCAGCAACGATCTTTCTCCTGGAGTCCAGCACTGTTATGTCCCCCACTGCCGCGTCGTATGTCTGCCGCAGGGGTACAGATACCGGGCAACACAACACAGAGCAAGGGCAATGCAGGGTTATAGAGGAGGGAGGGACTTGCACGTTAGAAAAGGCTCGTATTTCAGCTTGTATGGAGACTTACTTTGAAAGGTGATTGAGGCTTGTTCTGAAAGGGTGATAAGAGAAGACGCTGCACCTTGTTGGCCACAGCCAACACTATCTGTGTGTAGCTGAGGGACTCATTGCCATAAAGCACAAAATCATGGGCCGACTTGTACAGGCGGGTCTTAAGGAAGGTTCAAAGGCATGATGTGAGGAAGAGGCGCACCTTGTTGGCCACAGCCAGCACCATCTGCGTGTAGCTGAGGGACTCATCGCCATACAGCACTAACTCGTTAGTCCAACTCCAAGGCTTGGATCGAGGCCTGATAAGAGATCACGTCTCACCTTGTTGGCCATAGCCAGCACCACCTGCGTGTAGCTGAGGGACTCATCGCCATACAGCACTAACTCGTTAGTCCAACCAACTCGGAGGGTAACCCACTTTGGGGCATGATATGGCGTGACAAGTTTGAGGAGAGATAAGTGAAACTGTCTCACTCACCTTATTGGCCACAGCCAGCACCATCTGCGTGTAGCTGAGGGACTCGTCCCCGTACAGCACAAAGTCGTAGTCCAGCTCGTAGGGTAACCGCGTAACCGCCAGGCGGAAGAGCTCCACGCAGTAGCCTGAGAAGCGGGCGTTGCCCTCCCCGAAAGCATCCGACACGTTCACATACTCCTTGTATTGCTGGCAGGGGAGGGGGGGAGAGCGGAGGGGGGGAGGGGGGGAAAAGGGGGGGACTGTTGAGTCGAATGTACAGTCACCTTCACATAAGAAGCGTGTGTTGCCCACGTTCACATACTCCTTGTATTGCTGGCAGGGAAAGGGGGGAGAGAGTGGGGGGTGGGGGGGAAGAGGGTTGGAGGGGAGAGGGGAAGAACTTTCTGAGTCAACCAGAAGCCACAGTAGCCTGAGAAGCGGCCCTTGCTTTCCGTTTAAGCATCGGACACATTCACATACTCCTTGTATTGCTGGCAGGGGAGGGGGGGAGAGCGGGAGGGGGGGGGGAGGGATGGGCTAATGAATATGAAGACACCTCCAAACGCTCTATCACATGCATTGACGTACTCGGAAGGCTGAGCTTGTAATTGTAAAAGCAGAAAAGGCCACAATACATGATGGGCTCACGGGTTCACCAAAAGCACCAACCCAGCGAGGAGCTACGTAGGAAAAAGTGGCTCACCTAAACTAAATGCACCTTTGTATAAGCATCTGCTGGTAAGGCATCTGCTGATAAGGCATCTGCTGATAAGGCACCTGGTGCAGCCTATTATTGGGAACCACAATATAGCCACCTCACCTGCTTATTGGGCACAGCAATCCGAACCCGCGTCTTGGGAAATGATCCTGTTGGGACCTGCGGAAACAGCGAGATAGACGAAGAGGAGACGACACAGCGAGCAGGGGCAGGGGCAGGGGCAGGGCCAGGAGTGGGAGAATCTGCAAATGGCTTGAAACAACCAAAGTTTTGTTGCGCCTTAATCTTACAACACCCCCAAGAAAGCAACCAAGAGGAGAGTCGGTGGCAGTGAGGGAGGAAACAAAGGTACCCATACTATGAGTCTGGAATCCTTTATCTATCACCCCACCCACCAGTGCGAGCCTCTTCTCTATGACACCGTACTTGTGTGAGCCTCTATGAAAACTGACACCCCAAACCCTGTGTCAGCCTCAATGAACCCTGAAACCCCAAACCCTGTGTCAGCCTCTATGAACCCTGAAACCCCAAACCCTATGTCAGCCTCTGTAAACCCGGAAACCCCAAACCCTGTGTCAGCCTCTATGAACCCTGAAGCCCCCAAACCCTGTGTCAGCCTCTATGAACCCTGAAACCCCAAACCCTGTGTCAGCTTCTATGAACCCTGCAACCCCAAACCCTGTGTCAGCCTCTATGAACCCGGAAACCCCAAACCCTGTGTCAGCCTCTATGAACCCTGAAACCCCAAACCCTGTGTCAGCCTCTATGAACCCGGAAAACCCAAACCCTGTGTCAACCTCAATGAAACCTGAAACCCCAAACCCTGTGTCAGCCTCTGTGAACCCTGAAACCCCAAACCCAGTGTCAGCCTCAATGAACCCTGAAACACCAAACCCTGTGTCAGCCTCTGTAAACCCGGAAACCCCAAACCCTGTGTCAGCCTCTATGAACCCTGAAACCCCAAACCCTGTGTCAGCCTCTATGAACCCTGAAACCCCAAACCCTGTGTCAGCTTCTATGAACCCTGAAACCCCAAACCCAGTGTCAGCCTCTGTGAACCCTGAAACCCCAAACTCTGTGTCAGCCTCTATGAACCTTGAAACCCCAAACCCTGTGTCAGCCTCGATGAACCCGGAAATCCCAAACCCTGTGTCAGTCTCAATGAACCCTGAAACCCCAAACCCTGTGTCAGCCTCTGTGAACCCTGAAACCCCAAACCCTGTGTCAGCCTCAATGAACCCTGAAACCCCAAACCCTGTGTCAGCCTCTGTGAACCCTGAAACCCCAAACCCTGTGTGAGCCTCAATGACGGCCCACCTGTGTGAGCCCGCCAGGAAAGATAATAGGAAGGTCATTCAACGCCTGCAATGGGGTGGAAAGAGGGCAGTGGAAAGGGGGTGGTGGAAAGAATCCAAGTTAGCAGGCCTGGAGATATGCCAGGCATGCCGTGTTGTGACTCGTGAGACATCTCGAGTTCCAATTCAAGTAAAGAGGCTATTGAATCGACTCAAGAAGGAGGCGCCACAGTGGAACGAACGAATCCAAGTTAGGAGGCCTGGCAATATGCTAGGCCTAGGCATGCAGTGTTGTGAGCCGTCTCGAGTTCCAATTCAAGTAAGGAGGCTATTGAATCGACTCAAGAAGGAGGCGCCACAGTGGAACGAACGAATCCAAGTTAGGAGGCCTGGAGCCAGCCAACACACAACTGACCTGTCCACTCGAGCCGGTGAATGGGCCTGGGGTCGGGCTTGCGACCGGGCCTGGACCCGCGGGTGCGCCCGAGCCTGTGCGAGAGGCCGTTGGAGCTGAAGAGGTTCGGAGGTTTGGGATAAGGCCTTGGGTGGAGGACCAGCGGCCCACTTCCACTGGCGCCCCTGGCTGTATGTTGAGAATGAGCGTCTCGTTCATTGCCATGTCGCCGTGCGACGTGAAAGACATCCTGCAGTGGAGGGACAAAGGGAGAGGGGGGAAGCACAAGAATGAGGGAAGGTGGTGTGACGATAAGAGGCCCACTTCCACTGGAGCCCCTGGCTGTATATTGAGAATGAGGTTCTCGATCACTGCCATGTCGTCTTGCAGAGTGAAAGACATCCTGAGAGGGGGGGAGAGGAAGGAGAGTCGGGGGATTTAGAAAGGTGTGGGTGGAGGGAAAGGGACAGGTGAGGGTGGAGGGAAAGGGACAGGTGAGGGTGGAGGGAAAGGGACAGGTGAGGGTGGAGGGAAAGGGACAGGTGAGGGTGGAGGGAAAGGGACAGGTGAGGGTGGAGGGAAAGGGACAGGTGAGGGTGGAGGGAAAGGGACAGGTGAGGGTGGAGGGAAAGGGACAGGTGAGGGTGGAGGGAAAGGGACAGGTGAGGGTGGAGGGAAAGGGACAGGTGAGGGTGGAGGGAAAGGGACAGGTGAGGGTGGAGGGAAAGGGACAGGTGAGGGTGGAGGGAAAGGGACAGGTGAGGGTGGAGGGAAAGGGACAGGTGAGGGTGGAGGGAAAGGGACAGGTGAGGGTGGAGGGAAAGGGACAGGTGAGGGTGGAGGGAAAGGGACAGGTGAGGGTGGAGGGAAAGGGACACGGAGGTGGATGAGTGAGTATGAAGGAAAGGGATGGGGGCGTGAGGAGGAGTGAGTGAGGAGGAACAGGGAAACACACAAGGCAAAAAACGTGATCATTATTGTCCGAATCATCTAAAACAACGGCACCACACCACACCACCGACCTTTGCTGTAGGCTGTGTCAACTAATTCAAGCAGACTGTTCAAAAGACCTCCATACTTAACCAAACTCACGTCCAACACTCTTCCTCCCACTCCATTCCTCTCCCACTCCTCTTCCCACTCCTCCCCCCACTCCTCTCCCCCTCCTCTCCCCACACTCCCCTCTCACCTGCCCTGGAGGCCAACGAAGCTTGTCTTGAGAAGCGCCTCCCAAAGAGTGGGGCCGACTGTGAATAGGGCAGGGCGAGGGAAAAAGCATACTTCAAGAAAGTGTTACAGCGGGGAAGAGGGATAAGGAAAAAATGGACTGAATAGCAACACAGGAGTGACTGTGTGAATGGGGCGAGTGGAGCGAGGTGCCGGACAAGGCAAGTGTATCGTAGGTGCCATTGGGAAAGGGGGGGGGGGCAGTGGCTGGTCTAACTGCAATAGTGGCTGCTGGTTCAAGTGTTTTTGAGTCGACTCAAAGGCTTACTTGCATTCCAGAGGCTTACTTGTGCTCCTTCGGAGGTGGGTGATTTCTGGGACAAGTGCGTCGTCGGTGCCGTTGGGAAGTGGGGGGAGCAGAGGCAGATTCAACTGCTGGAATGCTTGCTGCTGTCCCCCTGGTTGCTGTTGCTGCTGCACTCGCTGCTGTTTCATCGGCTGCTGCTGCTTCCCTTTGTGAAGTGCCTTGGAAGGTGTTCGCCTTGAAGCAGCAGGCGGGGGATAGAGCAGGGTGTGCAGTGCTGTTGCAACGAGGGTGACAGCATCATGTGATGAGAGGGCGTACGGTGACGGCTTCTGGCTTGGAGGGAGGGATGTGGAGGGGTGGTGGAGGGAGGGGAGAGTGGGGAAGGGGGGAAGGGGGGGGAGGGTGGGGGGGGGAGGGGAAAAGAAAAAGGAGGAGAGCTAGAGGGGTTGCATTGATGGTAAAAGGGGGGTTGCAGCGAGTTGATGGTGCAAAGATGGTTGGAGGAAATGATGAAGCAACTCGGCCATCAAACAGACAAGAAAGGCTGACTGACCCCATTGAGAAGAGTTGTTTTTTTTTAAGAGTTGGTTTTTGAGATGAGTTGGTTTTTGAGAAGAGTTGCTTTTTCTTTCTTCAAGTCTTCAACCAAACAAGAAAGGCTGACTGACCGTTCTGCTGAGTCCTGGGTACTGCGAGGCATTGAGCTGCTTCCAGCGATCAAGGAACGATGTGAGTCGAGCGGAAGGAGGCACGTACGTGGCTGTGAAGATGAGGCCCTGGAAGAGAGGAGGGGGGGCAGGGAGGGGTTGGGAATCAAAAGCCAGTGGAAGGAGGCACGTAGGTGGCTGTGCAGAAAAGGCTCTGGAAAGAGGAGAGGGCGGGGAGGGAAGGAGGATGAGGTGCGACGTTACTTTTGAGTCAACTCAAAAGCGGGGGAAAGGAGGCACATAGGTGACTGTGAAGATGAGGCCCTGGGGGAGGGTGGGGAGAGGGGTTGGGAAACAGAGATGCGTTTCTATCAGCCCGCCCACATCCCACACCACAAGGCACACCTGCCAGCCAACCTTATACCCACCACCACCAGCACAAGGCACACCTGCCAGCCAACCTTATACCCACCACCACCAGCACACGGCACACCTGCCAACCCCATAACCACCACCACCAGCACACGGCACACCTGCCAACCCCATAACCACCACCACCAGCACACGGCACACCTGCCAACCCCATAACCACCGCCACCAGCACAGGGTGTTGTAATATATTATCATATACAACATGCATGACTAGAATAGGAGGTGTAGACATATAAGTTATTGGGGGGTTGTTGGTTGGGTTCACCAACCACACTTCGGTTTGTCAAGATTGGATTTGGTCTTGGTCCTTTGGTTGGCACTTTCCAACCAAATGGTCCCAAGCCTCCACCAATCAGCAACCACCACACTTTGGGGTTGCTTCCCCTCCAAGCTACCTCTCCCATTGGCCACTATTGTTGCCAATAGGAATGCCTTCCCTTCCAACGTTTCCTTGCTCCTTGGTTGTACTATAGAGCCTTTTGGCTCCTATTCTAGTTTATTATTTTCTCTCCAAAAGTTGAGTTCTTTCATGATATTCAGAGCCAATGGCTCACACCACCTCATTTGATTCTCCTACCTAGCCTGGCCTTCCCACTAGGCTCTCCTCCCTCCTCATCCTCCAGCCTAGCCCTTCCGCAGGCTACCTTCTCGCCCTCCGCCATCGCTCTCTCCTCCTGAGAAGCAGAGCTGTACGCCGCCACCATGGCCGCACAAGAGGCCCTTTGGGTCTCCTTCCTCCTCGAGGAGCTTGGTGCCCCTCAGCGCTGTCCCACCATCTAGTTTTAAGGAGTCGGTGGCCAACACGGCGGCGAATGAAACGCGAAGTCGACGGTAGCGGTCACGGCAGAAGCGATGTTGGGGATGGCGGGTTTAGGCCGCACGGCCCACACGCAGCGTCAGCGCACACCGGCGTTGATAGTTCGGCGCTGCCCGGGATGTCCCTTGCCCTCGTGCCCGTCGCCGGCGCGTCAAAGAGCTTCGCCCTTGGCTCCATCAATGCCGACAACGAGTGGGATGGCATGTGGCATCGGGATTTTAGCATGGACGATGAGGGTTGGGAGAGGAACCGGATTCCGGACCCCGCCGTAGGGGGGAAAGGGGGGCGGCATGACAATGAACCGGATTATGGCCCGGGAGCGGAGGAGATGGAGGCATGCGAGTCCGGGGACGACAGCCAGCGCCCCGGAAAGAAGGGGAGTGGGAGGAAGAGCGGGAAGGGTGGCGGAGGGGGGCGTGGGAAAAGGGCGGGTGCTAACTTAGGGGCCACGGATGCACGCGCTGCTATTGGTGGGGGGGAGGGCAGCGGGGAGCCAGGAGGGGCAGGGGGTGTGGAGGGGGCAGCAGAGGCCATGGAGACAGGGGCCGGACAGGGTGTGCGCATTGGAGAAAGGGGTAGGCAAGGGGGCAAGCGTAGTAAGGGGAAGGGGAAAGCACGGGCTGGGTTTGGGGAGGGACTGCGGGGGCTGGTGTGACGCACCCTAAGTGTGCTAGAGAGGGGGAGGTGGAGGAGGAGGAGGGCACCGGGGGCAGGATCTCGGGCCTCATGCATGGTATGTTTGACATCACCGACGACCCTCTTAAGCGTGCATGTCGGTGCTGCGAGCAGACGGTTTACTGGGCAGGCAGCAGCACGGGCAGCGCCTGGAAGCATGCCCGCCTATATCACCACCCCCACCCCCAGATCTGGCAGCATCTGTTCACAGACCCCAAGAAGAAGTCGGGTTTGGAGTTCCCCCTCAAGGGGTATCCGAATGGGCCACACCAGCGGGAGGTCTGGCCACATGCTGACAGCTGGCCGCAGCTTCCTGCTGGTCCGGCGGCGGCGCAGGTGGAGACTGGAGCGGGGCAGCCGAACTTACACAAGTTCATGGCGCCTCGACTGTCCTTGCAGCAACTCCGACAGGCGCTCGTCGAGCCATTTGCTGACGCTGACTTGGCGTATCGTCTCGTCGAGCGCCCATCGGTGAGCCCTCGCATACTCGGTTTGTGAATTACAAAGTGCATCTCTAGCTGGAGTGAAGATTTGTCACATCTGTGCTATCAATCCGCCCAAAGCCTCGTTCTGCCTAGCTGCCGCCCCTTTCACAGCCCATCCCTTTTTTAGTTCCAGCGGTTCTGCTCGCTGCTGAACCCACAAGCTGCAAACATGCTCGGCAGCCGGTTTCGTCTAGCACGTGACACGTTGATGCACGGGGATGCAGCACGCGAATGGCTGCAGCAAGAGGTGGCCGGTTACGAGGCAGCGGGGAAGGTTTCCTTCAAAATTGACATCTAGACCAACCCCAGCAAGCAGGCCTTCATGACCGTCACGGGCCACTACATCACTTCAGACTTCAGGTTGCGGCAGGCGACTTTCGAGTTCAAGCAGCTCCACGGGTCGCATACGGGAGACCTCATTGCGGACGGGTTTGAAAAGGTCCTCATCGACTGGGGGCCCAAGTGTTCGGCGTGACGACGGACAACGCTGAGAACAACGTAGTGCTTATAGCGGGGGTCTAGCATGGTGGCCACTGCAAGTTCCTTTGACGTTGTTCTCGGCATTGTCTGTCGTCACGCCGAACACCGCTGCTAGCAACCCCTAGTCGATGAGGACCTTCTCGAACACGTCCGCAATGAGATCTCCTGTATCCGACCCGTGGAGCTGCTTGAACTCGAAAGTCGCCTGCCGCAGCTTGAAGTCCGACGTGATGTAGTGGCCCGTAACGGTCATGAAGGCTTGCTTGCACGTGTTGGTTTAGATGCCGTTGTGAAAGAAACCTTCTCCGCTACCCCGTCACCGACCACCTCTTGCTGCAGCCACTCGCATGCAGCATCCCTGTGCGTCAACATGACACGTGCCAGACGAAACCGACTACCGAGCATGTTCGCAGCTTGTGGGTTTAGCAGCGAGCAGAACCGCTGGAACTGGAAAATGGATGGGCAGTGGAAGGGGCGGCAGCTAGGCAGAATGAGGCTTTGGACGGATTGATATCATAAAGTGACAAAATTTCATCTCATTCGAAAGATGCACTTTGAACTTCACAAACCGAGTATGCGAGGGCTCACCGATGGGCGCTCGACGAGACGATACACCGGGTCGGCGTCAGCAAACAGCTCGACGAGCGCCTGTCGCAATTGCTGCAAGGGAAGTCGAGGCGCCATGAACTTGTGTAAGTTCGGCTGCCCCGCTCTAGCCTCCGCCTGCGCCGGCGCCGGACCCGCAGGACGCCGCGGCCAGCTGTCAGCATGCGGCCAGGCCTCCCGCTGATGTGGCACGTTCGGATACCCCCTGAGGGGGAACTCCTAACCCGGCTGCTTCTTGGGGTCTGCGAACAGGCGGTGCCAGATTTGGAGGTGGAGGTGGTGATATAGGCGGGCATGCTTCCAGGCGCTGCCCGTGCTGCTGCCTGCCCAGTAAACCGCCTGCTCGCGGTATCGACATGCACGCTTAAGAGGGTCGTCGGTGATGTCGAACATACAATGCATGAGGCCCGAGATCCTGCCCCCGGTGCCCTCTTCCTCCTCCTCCACCTCCCCCTCTCTACCATGTTTAGGGTGCGTCGCATCAGCCCCTGCAGTTCCCCCCCAGACCCAGAACGTGCTTTCCCTTTCCCTTTACTATACTTGCCCCCTTTGCTTGCCCCTTTCTACACCGCGCGCACCCTGTCCGGCCCCTGTCTCCATGGCATCTGCTGCCCCCCCACACCCCTTGCCACTCTGGGCTCCCCGCTGCCCTCCCCCCCACCAGTAGCAGCGCTTGCATCCATGGTCCATAGGTCAGCACCCGCCCCTTTTCCACGCCCCCCTCCGCCACCCTTCCCGCTCTTCCTCCCACTCCTATCCTTTCCGGGGCGTGGGCCATCGTCCCCGGACTCCCATGCCTCCATCTCCTCCTCTCCCGGGCCATAATCCGGGTCATTGTCACGCTGTCCCCCCTTCCCCCCTACTGCGGGGGTCCGGAATCCGATTCCTCTCCCAGCCCTCGTCATCCATGCCAAAATCCCGGTGCCATGTGCCATCCCACTCGTTGTCGGCGTTGATGGAGCCAAGGGCGAAGCTCTGTGGCGCGCCGGCGACGGGTACGAGGGCAAGGGACATCCCTGGCAGCGCCGAACTGTCAGCGCCGGTCTGCGCCGACGCCGCGTGTGGGCCCTCCGGCCTTAACCCCCCCATCCCCACCATCGCTTCTGCCCTGACCGCCACTGTCAACTCCGCCTTCCATTCGCCGCCGTGTAGGCCACCGACACCAACAATCTAGGCCCTCCCCTAGTTCAATCCGCTTTAGCAACCTATGGAAACCCCAGATATCTAAGACGCCCCTAGTTTCCACGGACCAATGCCCCCAATTCTGGAAAGTGCGTGGTAAAGGCCACGAATGCACTAGCCACTTTGTTGGAAAGTTTCCTTAAAAATGCAGGCTGTTTCTGAAGAAATCGGAGTTGCTTAGGGCGAATCTCCTTTCACTATGCCTAAGAAAGAGGAGGAACAACTGTTGCCTTAAATTCAACAGTTAGAACTACATTGTTGCTAGGTAGCAGTATGGGAAAGTCGAGGTCGAAATAGGAAACTATTTTTTCAGTTGGAAATTTCGACCCGAAAAGTCGAAATTTTGAGATCTGCGCGCAGATCGCGCGGATCGTGTCGGGTCGACGCGCGACCCGATTTCGGGTCGGGTCGTGTCGGGTCAACCCGACTGCAATTACCCGAAGTCGGGTCGGGTCAACCCGACATGGTTGACCCGAACCATCGGGTAAAAACAAACTTGACGGGTCGGGTTCGCCCGACAGGGAAACTGACCCGACCCGTCAAAAAGTCGGGTTCGGATCGGGTTACCCGACCCGACCCGACCCGAACCCGACATCGGGTAGGGCAAAGTCGGGTCGGGTCGAGTCGGGTTCGTGCTCATCCCTACCTGCCAACCCCATAACCACCGCCACCAGCACACGGCACACCTGCCAACCCCATAACCACCACCACCAGCACACGCCATTCCTGCCAGCCCCATAACCACCACCACCACCAGCACACGGCACACCTGCCAACCCCATAACCACCGCCACCAGCGCACGGCACCCCTGCCAACCCCATAACCACCACCACCACTAGCACACGGCACACCTGCCAACCCCATAACCACCCCCACCAGCGCACGGCACACCTGCCAACCCTATAACCACCGCCACCAGCACCCGGCACACCTGATAACCACCACCACCACCAGCACACGGCACACCTGCCAACCCCATAACCACCGCCCACCAGCAAACGGCACACCTGCCAACCCCATAACCACCACCACCACCACCACCACCACCAGCACACGGCACACCTGCCAATCCTATAACCGCCGCCACCAGCATTTGACACACCTGCCAACCCCATAACCACCACCACCAGCACACGGCACACCTGCCAACCCCATAACCACCGCCACCAGCGCACGGCACACCTGCCAACCCCATAACCACCGCCACCAGCACCCGGCACACCTGCCAACCCCATAACCACTGCCACCAGCACACGACACACCTGCCAACCCCATAACCACTACCACCACCACCACACGGTACACCTGCCAACCCCATAACCACCGTCACCAGCACACGGCACACCTGGCAACCCCATAACCACCACCACCACCAGCACACGGCACACCTGCCAACCCCATAACCACCACCACCATCACACGGCACACCTGCCAACCCCATAACCACCGCCATCACTAGTACACGGCACACCTGCCAACCCCATAACCACCGCCACCAGCACCCGGCACACCTGCCAACCCCATAACCACTGCCACCAGCACACGACACACTTGCCAACCCCATAACCACTACCACCACCACCACACGGTACACCTGCCAACCCCATAACCACCATCACCAGCACACGGCACACCTGGCAACCCCATAACCACCACCACCACCAGCACACGGCACACCTGCCAACCCCATAACCATCGCCACCAGCACAGGGCACACCTGCCAACCCCATAACCACCGCCACCAGCACACGGCACACCTGCCAACCCCATAACCGCCACCACCAGCACACGCACACCTGCCGATCCCATAACCACCGCCACCACCAGCACACGGCACACCAGCCAACCCCATAACCACCGCTACCACCAGCACACGGCACATCAGCCAACCTCATAACCACAACCACCAGCACCAGCACAGGGCACACTCACATCCACTCTCTGGCCTGTCGATGCACTGATGACGGCCGCTGCTTCGGAGGAAATCCAGACGCTGCTCCTCCTAAGAAGACTCAGCCTTTGGGCTGGGGGGGGGGGTTATGGGTCATGGAAAGAGGAAGGAGATGATAACGTTGTTCGTCCTAATCAGACGCAGTTACCGGCTGGTGGGGGGGTTGGTTGGGTTATGGAAGTGCATGGGTCACGGGATGACAGAGGAAGTCCAGACGCTGCATTAGGAGAGAGGTGAGCAGTGCAGTGCAGTGCAGCACATAGGTAAACCGCCACGTCCAGCAGAAGCACGTGGCCCTCCGTTTTACTTTCTTTCTTTTGAACTGCCTCAACAACTCACCTGCTTCCACAGTGGCAATGAAGGCGTCAGGAGAGGCGTGCAGTGTAGTGCAGCACATAGATAAACCGCCACGTCCAGCAAGCGAAGGTTCTACTGTGTCTCACCTGCTTCGACAGCGGCTGTGTATGCGTCAGGGGAAGCGTGCAGCACATAGACTGCCACGTCCAGCAGAAGCAGAGACGACATCAGCCCTTGCACGCCGTCACGTGTGGCTGATGGGGGGATGGGCACACGCGCTACCACATCCGCCTCTGCCTGTTCAGAGGAGGGGGAGGGGAGGGGGGGGCAAGAGAGGAAGAGGTATGAAGAAGCGTGCAGCACACGGACAGCTGCATCCAGCAGCAGCCATGAGAACATAGTTGCGCTCTTGCACGGCGTCTTATGTGGCTGATGGGGGAATGGATGGGCACATGCGCTACCACATGGGGGAACAGCCGCCTGTTAGAGGAGGAAGAAACGGTAAGCGACAGGCAAAGGAACAGCCGATCAGGAGAGGGAAGACGGGTCACGAGGCTGTCATATGTACCTTATTGCTGGGCACCACAAAACGCGAAACGAGTGAGGGTTACCACCTTTGAACCCACTTCCACCTCTTCAGGCGGTGTTGTACATCTGCGGCATGTCAAGTTTCGCCTCAAGAGCCACTCACTTGAATGGAGAGAAGCTGTGTGCTGAGGGCAGCAAGTCCGTTCCGACCTGTAAGGTGCCTCAAGAGCCACTCACTTGAATGGAGAGAAGCTGTGTGCTGAGGGCAGCAACTCCGTTCCGACCGAATCGATCGTCGCTGTAAATGAGTGCCACCTGCTTCCACTTGTAGTGCTTGATCAGTGCTGCAGGGAGAGGGAGGGAAGGGAGGAGGGGGGAGGGGGGAATAGCTCCTCCCCTGCCCCTCTCTTTTATCCTTGACTCGGGCGCGTCTCGCTGCTTCTTTAGAGACAGTTGCTCTTATCCCGCTTCCTGCGCCTGTCCGCATCGCACTAGCAGACTCCTCAGCCACAGCTGTCGCACGCAGTACCACCACCCTCCCCTGTCCAGCTGCCCCCTCCGGCTCCCTCACCGGTCTGCACATCCCTTCGTTTGCCAGGAACCTGGTGGTGTCGATCAACTCCAGGACCAAGGCGTCACCACTACGTTCCTTGGCCGACATCGCTGAACACAGTGTGCAAGGAGTAGTAGGGGCACACTGTGCACTTTTACGAAGCCAAGCGACGGACAGATAGTAACACGTGCCACTATCTGTCGCCACCGCTGAGGAGTAGCGCGACATCGCTGGGCACAGTGCGCTGTCTGTCGCTGGCATGTCTTGTACCTGGTAACTTTTGAGTCGACTCAAAAGTCATCCCGTTACCAACTGTCTGCTGCTGGCATGTCGTGTACCTGGTATGCACCATCTATACTAGGAATCCCGTACCTGCCATGGCTGTCATCTGCACGCCGTCGCTGGCCACAGTGCGCATGAAGTAGGGGCGGTGGGCGCCTAGCGTGAGCTGCACGTCCGTTGCTGACGGGGAAATGAACGGCACCTGGGGGGGAAGGGACAGGAGGGGAGGGTGGAGGGGGGACAAGAAGGGGGACAGGAAGGGGGACAGGAAGGGGTGGGTGGTGGGGGTGACGAGGGGGGGGGGGAGAGTGCGGGGGGGGCGGAGCAGGAGAACATTAAGCAGGCAGTAAGCTGAAGCATGAGTTCATGTTCAGAATGAGGGTTTTTAGGGTTTTAGCACCTAGAGTTAGCTGAACGTCTGTTGCTGAGAAATTCATTCAAGCCAACGAGGCAAAGGTGAGACTCTATTACCTGGGTTGCTGCTGCCAGCGGGCTGAATCGGGCAGCCTGATCAGATGTGTGCGGACCAATCACGGCCACCGGGTGGTTCTTCAGTAGCTCAAATGCTGCCTCGTGGACGCAGGAGATGAAGCCACGTGGAGGCAGCGGATGAAGCCAGTGGAGGCGAGGGGGAGGCAGAAACCGAGGGTAAGGAACAGAGGGAGAGCATACAGGAGGGGAGATGGAAGAGGGGATTTAGCAACCGCAGCGAATGGGGGAAGGGAAAAGGACGGGTGGGCTTCTTAAGTCGACTAAAAAAAGGGATGGGTGGGCGGTAGGGGGTTGAGGGAGAGGGGATAACCTGCGAGCTGACTGGCGAGATCGGCGATGGAGTAGTTTTGCACCGTCAGATGCAGCACGTGGTTGGGCAGGATGCTGGGATCGCCGTTGATTTCCTCCACTGCCATCACAGAGGCTGGCGGGGAGCAGATTCGCGAGCACGGGAGGGGGAGGAAGGAAAGGAGGGGGCGAGAGGGATGTGTGTAGGAGCATGGCTCTGAGGCCCAGCAAGAAATAGATTGGACAGCAGAGCAATGTGGAAGAGAAGGGAAGGGGGAGGGTGGTTTGGGGAAGGAAGGGAGGGAGGAGAGGAGGCGAGGAGGGAGGTGGGTATAGGAGCATTACTCTGAGGGGCCGCAAGAATAGTTTGGAGTAGAGAAAGGTGGAAGGGAAGGAAGTTGACGGACTCGGAAGAGAGAAGGGGGAATGGCGCGGAAAAGGGAAGAGGAGTGGGGGAGGGGAAGGGAGGCGGAAGGGAGGGGTTGCGGGAGCGGCGTACCAGCGAGCATGTCGGCGCCGCCAGGCAGGTCGTAGGCGAACAGGCATCCGAGAGACAGCTCCGCCTTGCTCTGGTTCGCACCTCTCGCGACCGTTCCCGCGCCACCACCCCCCGCCACTAACTTTCTAGCGCCATCGTCCCGCGAGCCTGCTCCCCGCGCGCCTGTATCCCCCGCGCCTGTATCCCCCGCAACTGCATCCCCCGCGACTGTATCCCCCGCGACTGTATCCTCCGAGACTGTCTCCTGCGCGGCTTGCAAGCCTCTCCTCACCACTCGCCTGGATGCAAGCCGAACACTCGCATCGTGACCATCAAGGCTCGTGCTGCTATTCGCGATACTGGGTACTGCGGTCCCATGATCGGAAGTGCGAGCAGTTCCATCGAAGTCAGCGTTTTTGTCAGATTCCGCGTTTTGACCAGGGTAAGAGATTTGATGAGAGTAAGCGTTTCGATCAGGGTAAGAATTAGCGTAAGCGTTCTTATTATAACCAGCGTCTTGATCAGAGTCAGCGTCTCGATAAGAGTCAGAGCGAGAATCGACCGAGTCAGCAGCATCCGAAAGCACAGCCTTCGCGAGTTGGATTTGCCTGACGAATGATTCGTGAGAGCCTGGTATTTCGTTTTTGTACTCCAGCAGACTAAAAGACATGTTCATATTAACTTGATTAATATTAGCGATCTCCGCATTACGGAAACTCCTGTGCTCGCTAGCTTCCGCCCCTAAACCTGTCGCGGCGCTTCCCGTACTCTCCGTACGAAGCTCCGTTAACGCTATAACGAGTACTAGCACGAGGATCCGACCCCGCAAGGAAGCTTCGCGGTGTCGACGAGACGCAAGGTGCGGCGGCATGTCGCCTGCAGTAGTGGTAGGGATTGTGAGAATGTGCATTCTTAGCCCTTTTACGAACACGATATCGATGCGCATTAGCCGTTGCGTCCGGCATCGCATGCTACTACTGTCGCATGGCGGTGTCGCATGCTCCCTTGACTGTCGCATGAGCTGCGACTGGTATTAGCTGCGACGGATGATAATAAACGCACTTATCGAACCGTAAGGTGAGTATTTGACATGAGGAGCAGGAAAACGAAGGGAGACCTACTAGGTTTAGGAGGAGCAAGTACTGTAGTGGTCGAAGGCCAATTGAAGAACCCATGGCATGGGCCCAGTGAGAAACCCAGGCAACGCGACCCAGGGGCCGGTAAGTTCAAGGGTTGACCTTCCGGCGTTGACAAACCGCCTAGAGGTATGTGAGACTGGTTCTGTTGAGGGCGTGGTGCATCGGCTGCGAATGCGTCCGGACTAGAGCTTTTGCGAAACCGTTCTTGGCTTTCAACGCTCCGCAAATTTCGACAGCGTCGGTGCTGACCCGCTAGTCCGAACCTGAGGATGTACACCCTCGGGCGCGTTGGCAGGGGCAAAAGAGCGCGCGGCTCGATTAGGTCGGGCAGGAAAAACTAAAACCCAGGGCTGCCCGGCATGCGGGCCCAGACGGGTTTCTAGTTTTGGCCTGCCCGAAGGGCAGGCGTGGAGGCCACCTCGATCTTGCGTGCCTACACAGTTTGCGGTCCGATCTTCTTTTCGTTTACACCTTTGATGTAGGACGTTTGCGAAAACCCCGTCCGGATTTCTGTCCGGATTTTTAGGTTTTCGGAACGGCTGCACCACGCCCTGAGGCTACAGTAGTTGTTGCCAAAAGGCGGCGGCTGTGAGGGAGGGGAGAGGAGGTGACCGTTGTCTGTTTCTTTCCCGCATTCGCGGCCTGCCGCCCCGTCATTCGCGCACGCGACCACGCCTCACCTTGCCAACCAACATCACCGAAATCCACTCTGTCCCAACACGTAATAACAGAGGCAAACACTTCGCATCGTTACTCGTAAGCAGTAGAGAGTTTAACCGATAAGCAAAAACGTATGTGCAGCTCAATCAGACAAAACCATGCCAGGGAATACGCCCATTTATCATATTTCGCTGACTGAAGGATAATCCGCATCTAGAATCAACAATATGATTTCCCAATTTTCTAGCCGTGCCAAAAGTATTGTATATGCGTATTCACATGAAGAAAGAGACCGCATTCAATTTTCCTTGCTACGGTAGTTCTTGAGAGATATTGTAGACTGTTTCGGATCACAGGTAACGGGTAGAGGACACGACCTAGCCAGTCCCCTCCCCCAGGACGGTATTGGTGTCAGCAGCAATGGGTCAGACAGACTCGAGCGGTCGTAGCGTCGACCTGGACTAGGGGCCGCGTTCCCCACCTGTCTGAGTCCAGCAGGTCAGTGCACTCGCGGCGTTGCGTGCTGCAATGCGAGTCCTGCAGTTGTGCACCCTAGTACGATGGCGGAGGACAGCGGAAGTAGGATGCAGCGCCGTTGCGTTGCGTGCAGGGTGGGGTGAGGGCGTGGGGCATATGAGCCGGTTGTGCAAGCGTCCGGCATGCGCAGTGCAGCGGGAAGGGTGACTCCACGGAGGAGTGACTGACAAGCGGGAAGGGTTAGGCCAACTGCACTGCATCCGCGCCTGCGCCTTCATAAAATCAGCAGTCTTGACTCTCCGTCGGGCCTGCTGCGAGTACCGTACCCGCACCTTCCCTGCCGCCCGCTGCCACTGTGCCATCATTGACTGTGAGACTCCTCACTGCGCCATCATTGACTGTGAGACTCCTCACTGCGCCATCATTGACTGTGAGACTCCTCACTGCGCCATCATTGACTGTGAGACTCCTCACTGCGCCGTCATTGACTGTGAGACTCCTCACTGCGCCATCATTGACTGTGAGACTCCTCACTGCGCCATCATTGACTGTGAGACTCCTCACTGCGCCATCATTGACTGTGAGACTCCTCACTGCGCCATCATTGACTGTGAGACTCCTCACTGCACCATCATTGACTGTGAGACGTCCCAAAGCTCGTCTTCATTCGCGTTTGCACCTTCATCACAGCAGCAGTCTTAACTCTCCGTCGGGCCCGTGGCGAGTACTGTGCCTGCACCTTCCACGCTGCCCGCTGCCGCCGCGCCATCGCTGACTTGGGTCGCCTCTGCTCAGGGGGGCGCTCAGGTGGACGGTCAGGTGGCACTTCAGGTGGGCGGTCAGGAGGCAGCCTAGGTGGACGGCCACTGGCACGTTCGCCAATCAGAGCATTGCTAAGCTGGCCCTGTACTGGCGGGGTGGATGTTGGGGGAATGGGGTGGTCTGACGTGGGTGGACTTGGGGCTTCAAGGAGTGCTTGGGAGGATAGTTGCGCGCTGGGGAGGGTGTGTGAGGAGGGGGAAGGGGTGCTGCTTGTGCTTGCGAGTGATGATTGTCTGGATGCTGCACCTGATGATGCTGCATCTGATCGTGCATGCTTCGGTGTACGTGTGGATGCATGCAACGGCACATGCGATGGTGCGAAGGACACCGATCTATCTGTCGCACTACGAGGCCCAGGCGTGGTGGCCTTGTGTTGCACGATCGCCGCCGACCTGCCTGTTGGGCCGTGAGAGGAGACAGGCTGCGCTCGCGACGGTTGTCGGACTACCGGCAGCGCTCGCGATGATGGCCTGGGAACAAACGGCCGTCTGCTGGGTCCGACAGAGCGAGAAGAGGAGGTGGAGGAGGAAGGCGAAAAGGAGGGGAGGGAGGTGTGGCTGGATGCGGGTGGGAAATGCGGTGAGTGGGTGGTGCTGGTGACAGAGTGGCGAAGGGCAGTGGGAGCGGGGGCTGTTGGTATAGAAGAAGGGGATGCTGCTCTCGACGCAGGGGATGCTGCTCTCGACACAGGGGATGCTGCTCTCGACACAGGGGATGCTGCTCTAGACGCAGGGGATGCTGCTCCAAGTGCGGAGGAGGAGGAGGCGGACCTGAACTCGAACGGTGTGTTCTGCTGCTGCTGCTGCTGCTGCTGCTGCTGCTGCTGCTGCTGCTTTGTGTTGTAGGTGGACAGGTGCCTCTCGCGGCTCCATTCTTTGCCCTGCCAAAGGGAGCGAAACAGCGGAAAAGCAAGAAAGATATAGAAAAAAACTGCGTGACCTGTCCTGCCATGCTTGGCTTTCACTGCTACACACTTTGTCTGGGTGCTCTTCTTTGATAGTCGACTCAAGAGGGCCCACTGCACCCTGTGGATTCGACTCAAGCGCGCCGCGCCTCACCTTGTGGAAGTTATCCATATGGCTGCCAAGCTTGTTCTTCAGGGACCCCATCTTCATTTGAGGCGCCTCTAAAGCAACATGGCTAGCAAACTACGCCGCCTCTAAGCCAACACTGCCCGCCTCACCATGTGGAGTTTATCCATAAGGCTGCCAAGCTTGCTCTGCGGGGACCCCACCTTCTTTTGAGGCGCCTCTAAACCAAAATGGCTCGCCTCACCTTGTGCAGCCAACTACGCCGCCTCTAAGCCAACACTGCCCGCCTCACCTCGTGGAATTTGTCCAAGAGGCCGTCCAGCTTGCTCTGCAGGGAATCCACACCACTCTATACTAGTCGGTGACTGGAAATCCTCAATCCCCTGTCCACCAAACCAGCTCAAACATCACACATCTCCCCTTGTGGAATTTGTCCACGAGGCCGCCAAGCTTGCTCATACTAGCTGGTGTTTGGGAATCCTCAATCCGCTGTCCACCAAGCCAGCTCAAACATCGCACATCTCACCATGTGGAATTTATCCATAAAGCTCCCAAGCTTGCTCTGCGGTGACCCCACCTTTTTTTGAGGCGGCTCTAAAGCAACATGGCTCACCTTGTGGAATTTGTCCACGAGGCCGTCTAGCTTGCTCTGCAGCGACTCCACCCTCGGCAGGTCTATCGACCCCATGGATGGCAGACTGGATGGCAGGCTGGATGGCAGACGAGAAATGGACGGCAGATTGGGAATGGACGGCAGGCTGGGGATGGATGGAAAGATGGGAGCGGGCGGCAGACTAGAAACGGCTGGCCGGCTCGGAACGGACTGCAGAGGGGGGAGTTCTTTGGACTGCCGTCTGGGGAGTGCAGCGGGTTTTGAGAGGCTCTCAGCTGAGGGAAGTCGCGGGATGATTGATGTCAGTCTGGGAAGCTTTGGCAGATGGATGGTGGTGCTTGGCTGGGCGCTGGTGCTTGAGCTGGTGGCAGCGCTGGTGGGGGCGCAAGTATGGGGAGGAGAGGGAGGGAGATGGTCCTTGTTGCTGCTGCCTTGCGCCTCTTCTCCCCCTGCTCCCTCCCCTCTCTCTCCTGTTGGTTCCCTTTTAGCTGCACATGCACCCTCGCTGCTGTTTGTTCGCTCTCCGAGTGAAGTTTCCTCAATGCTAGGTGCCTGCCCGCTGTCTAAATCTTGCCTTCTATTGCTGCCATGAGCTGTCTGTGAGTCGGATGTCAGGAGAGAATGCGCTTTGCTGCTGGATGCCTCTCTGATTGAAGCCTCCTCAATGCCAGATGCCTGGCCGTCGTTGAATGGTCTTCTTTTGCTGCCATCAGCAGAACGTGAGTCAAGGGTTGAAAGATGCTGCGGGTCTTTCGCTGCTTTGTTGCTGGATGCTGCTGCTGCTGCTGCTGCTGCTGCTGCAGGTACAGCAATAGCAGCAGCAACAGGAGCAGCAGGAGGAGAAGGAGGAGAAGCAGGAGCAGCAGCAGCAGGCGGAGCAGCAAGAGCAGGAGTAGGAGCAGCACCAGGTGACGCTGCTGCTGAGCGCGCCTGCTGCTCCTGCTGCTCCTGCTGCTCCTGCTGTTCCTGCTGTTCCTGCTGCTGCCCCTTCTCCTCCCTGCCCTCCTCTAGACCCACCTCTGCTCCCTCCCCCTCATCCCCCACCATCAGCAGCACGTCATCCTCCCCGTCATCATCACTGTTTGATGGAATTGACTCATATATGGTCATAGCGTCGTCATCTCCCTCGTCACTGCTCGCCTGCTTTTGAGTCGACTCGAAACCATCCCCATCATCACTGTTCGATGGAATTGACTCATATATGGTCTGACCGTCGTCATCACTGCTCGCCTGCTTTTGAGTCAACTCAAAATCATCCCCATCATCACCTTTCAATGCCATTGGCTCAAATACGGTCAGAGCGTCCGCATCTCCCTCATCACTTCTCATCTGATCTTCCCGGCAGCGCTTCGAGCCAGCGAGCGAGGCGTGAGCAGCAGTGGACTGGCGGTGGGGGAAGATCGCCGCCGAACCCGATGGAGAGAGAAAGTCCGCTCGAGAGAGCGGTTGGGAGACCGGCGCCTCACAACACTCTTGCCTCTTCTCGTCTGCGCCGCTCGCACCCGTCTCTTGGAGCGCGTCACCACAATCTCTCCTCACACCCATTTGGGCGGTGGGGGAAGATTGCGGCCCGAATGAGCAAGAAGAGGACAGAGGGTTGTGCGCCGCCCTGGGAGAAGACTGGGAGAGGAGAGAACGAGACGAGGGGGAGAGGTTGCTCCGAGGGGCTTTAACGAATGACCGTGAGCGGAGCGGGGTGGCGGAAGAGGAGAGAGGCACTCGAGCTCTGGACTCAGTCAGTTCGTTGTCTGCTGTTGGTTGCTCAGCTGATCCCAATCTGCTGCTCCCTGCTCTGCTTCCCCTACTGCTCCCTCTGCTCCGCTCTCTGTTGCTCCCTCTGCTGCTCCCTCTACCAGTGCCCCTTCTGCTTCCCCCTCTGCTCATCCCAAGACCAGGCAACGCGCCAAAGCTGTCTGTGTCAGAGTCAACTGGGTCATCAGAGTCAGCAGTTTGCTCAGTGGTACTGGGCGGATCCCTTCGGAAGCTCTTGACCTTGTCCACTAGCGACTGCACTCCCTTCTCCCTGCACAGCATGGTAGTTTGAAAAAGCGTTTGAGGGCATAAGAGAGTATAAAAGAGCATGAGAGGGAGCGGAGCTCTTGGCCTTAACCACTAGCTAGCGAATACACTCCCTTCTCCCTGCACACGCATTGGTGCTTCGTAGGAGCATAAGGGAGCATGGGAGGAAGCCGAGACGACTGCTTGAGAGTCAAATCAAAACTCCAAGGGCTCCCTTCCAAAGCTCGTGACTTGCTCACTAGCGAGTGCACACCCTTCTCCCTGGGGGCAAGCATGAGGGGGTATGAGAGAAGAGTGAGTCAAGCATGTGGGGAAGAGGAGGACTGTTAGTGAGTCAACTTGATGGTGCACAGTGCACACCCTTCTCCCTGGGGGCAAGCATGAGGGGCTATGAGAGTGTGGGGAAGCAGAGGACTGTTAGTGAGTCGACTTGAAAGCACTACATTCTGAGTCTCCTGACTCGTCCACTAGCACGTGCACCCCACCCCACACCGTTCCACCTCCAAGAGGATGAGCTGGTGGGGAAAGCGGGTGAACGGTCCGCAGGATCTGGGGAGCACGAAGGGTGCTTTCTAGTGTAACCCTTCGTGTTCCCTTTTTAGTCGACTAGAAAGCTGCTTCGTTCTGCAGATCTTGGCATCATCAACGTTGTGTTGTGTCGCACCATTGGTCCGCAGCGATCAACCCACGTGATGTAACGGTAACCACGGTAGATGAGGAGGGCGACTTATGACTGTGATACGGTATATTAATTCAGCATATGGCTGTTACATACAGTTTATTGAAAGTTTAGGCATTGCAATGGCTCACCTGACGTAACGGTAACCGCAGTAGACGAGGAGGAGGGCGACATATAATTGCTACAAGACACCGCAGCAAAGGACAGGTATGCATGAGTGCCGCATAAGGCATACCTGACGTAACGGTAACCGCGATAGATTAGTAGGGCGACATAGACAACGCAGCAGCTCATGGAAATGGCGAAGTAGATGATGTAGAGGCCTCCGAACCGCTGCACACCGAACTGCACCGCTGTGGTCTTCTGGGGGCAGATGCTGTCGGACTGAAGTGGGGGGATAGATGGGGGGGGGGGATTGAGGGTTGTTGCGCGATGGATGGCGCGTGGAGATGGGATGGGAGCGAAGCCTACGCTAACAGTGGCTGATAGCAGCATCGCATGCAACTGCTCCATCTCCCATGACAAGCGCACCTATGCAATCGCCTCCCTCCGACCGAGACGTCAGGCACGAAAGTGGGTGATTTAATGAGTCTCTATCTAGCGTGGGGGGTTGGGGACGGGAGCCAAGCCAAGCCTACGCTAACACACAGCGACCCGTACGCAAGTGGGTGGGATTATGAGTTCTTATCTGGAGTGACCCTTACGCTGACATACTTGGCGTGCAGTTTCTCAATTGGTCCTTTGTCCTCTACCTCCTGGGTCGAGCGCAGCTCTGCGATGGCATCCGAGATGTCAGTCCGAAAAGTCTCTTTCTAGAGTGAGTGAAGGGGCGGTTGGGGGGTGTGCCGATCTTACGCTGAAGTACTTGGCATGTAGTTCCTCTATCTCCTGGGTCGACCGCAGCTCTGCGATTGCATTCGAGATGTCAGGCCCCAGGGCGGTGCCCTTCTGGAAGGCCTGCCGGGGAGATTGGGAGGGCAGGAGTGAGAGCGGGAGAGTCGGAGTTGGAAGAGGGGGAGTGGTGGATTAGACACAATGTGAAGCGATGGCCTCTAAGATGTCAGGCCCCAGGGCGGTGCCCTGTTGGAAGGGCTGCAGGGAGGGGGAGGGAAGGGGGGGGAAAGGGTGGGGGTAGAGCCACAGTGTGAAGAGTGGGAAAGGGAAGAGGGAATAGAGGAATGGGGGTAGAGTTGCAGTGAAAAGATGCCTCTGTGATGTCGGGCCTCAGTGCGGAGCCCTTCTGGAAGGCCGGCAGGGAGGGGGGGGGAGGTGGCAGGGGTTTATGGACACACTGACGAGTGGGAGCGGGAGTGAGAAGAGGGAAGAGGGGAGGAGAAGGGATGCACGGCCTGCATGGCCATGTAGAGACGCCAGGGTCGACGCGCCGCCTTTCAGCACACCCTTCAATGGTTGGGCTAAGCACACATTAGTCGACGGGCAATAGCATGTGTTGAGGGGTTCAGCCGCACGTACAAAGGCGAGGTTGAGGGAGGAGAAGGGCTGCGCGGCCTGCAGGAGATCGCAGAAGTGAGGCTGCCTTTGAGTCGACTCAAAGGAACCACATGGGCCAAGGAGAGCAGCCGCACGTACAAAGGCGAGGTTGAGGGAGGAGAAGGGCTGTGCGGCCTGCATGACGTCGCAGAACTGCGAGGTGAAGATGGCCAGGTAGGGGTCCTCGTCCACTATCACCGTGACACGGCCGGAGGAAAGAGCCTCGCTGTACTGGTCGATCTCTGCTAGCGGTATGAGGTTGCTCTGCAGTGGGGGGGATACCAACGAGAGGAAACAAGCACACCGCACCAGCACCACAATCTTCGTCATGCGCCCTGAGAAGAGAGCCTCGCTGTACTGGTCGATCTCGGCTAGTGGTGTGAGGTTGCTCTGGTGGACACAAGGGGAAACAGGAGGGGGGAAACAAACAACAAGCACACAGCAGCAAAACTGATGTGAAGATGGCGAGGTAGGGGTCCTCGTCCACTATCACCGTCACGCACCCGGATGACAGAGCTTCGCTGTACTGGTCGATCCCTGACTGTGGTATGAGGTTGCTCTGTGGTGGAGGGGATACGGGAGGGGAAACGAGCACACAGCACCAGAAGTGCAATGCGAAAGGTTTAAAGGTTGGGGGGGTCCTCGTTCACTAATACTGTAGCGTGGCTGGAAGACAGGGCCTCGCTGTACTGGTTGATCTCCGACAGTGGCGTGAGGTTGCTCTGTGGTGGTGGGGGGGATACCAACGAGGGGAAAAAAGCACACGGCACCAGAAGTGCGATGTGAAGATGGCGAGGCAGGGGTCCTCGACCACTATCACCGTCACGCGGTCTGATGATAGGGCCTCGCTGTACTGGTTGATCTCCGACAGTGGTGTGAGGTTGCTCTGGTAGGGGGGGGTCATAGACAGAAACGGGTTACGGGAGACAGGAACGAGAGACAGGAACGAGGGGACACAAGCACACAGCACCAGAACTGCCATGTGAAGATGGCCAGGTCGGGGTCCTCGTCCACTATCACTGTGACCCGCCCCGAAGAGAGGGCTTCGCTGTACAGATGTATCTCTGCCAGTGGCATGAGGTCGCTCTGAGGTGAGGGGGATACGGGAGGGGAAATAAGCCCCTCGGAGCCAGAAGTGCGATGTGAAGATGGCGAGGTAGGGGTCCTAGACCACTATCACCGTCACACGGCTGGAAGACAGAGCCTCGCTGTACTAGTCGATCCCCGACAGTGGTATGAGGTTGGTCTGTGGAGGAGGGATAATAGATGAGATGAGAATCGATGGTTGGTGATTGGGGGTAGACTTGAGCATTTTACCCCGTCGGGTCGCGGGTACCCGACCTGACCCGACATTTCGGCCAGATCGGGTAATAGGATTTTGACGAATTACCTGGCCGGGTCGGGTCGGGTACTCGGGCCGGGTAATGCATACCCGTTACCCGAGAATTACCTGAAATGTCGGGTAATTTATTACCCCTCGGGTCGTGGGCACCTGACCCGCCATCGGGTTTGTTACTCCGGGTTTGCTGATTTTTACAGCCACCTAGGGGTACCCGGGTAATATTACCCGACTTCAATCGAATGTGGGTCGGGCATACCCGACCCGCCAGACGGGTACCCACTTACCCGGTATTAAAATGCCGGGTCGAGTAACAGACCTCCAAACATTACCCGGAAATTACCCGACCCGACCCGACCCGATCTGGACCCGATCGCGGGTAGGGAAAAACCAGGTCGGGTCGGGTAATTACCCGGTTTTGCTCATGTCTAATTGGGGGGGGGTTATAAGGTGAGGCAGTGCACAAGAAAAAAACACAGCGAGATCATTGGCTTCAGGGAGGAGGCACAAGAATACATGACAAGAGAAAAACATGCAGCACTGAAGCTCCAAGCATGCAGCACTGACGCTCCAAGCATGCAGCACAGCAGCTCCAAGCATGCAGCACTGCAGCTCCAAGCATGCAGCACTGCAGCTCCAAGCATGCAGCACTGCAGCTCCAAGCATGCAGCACTGCAGCTCCAAGCATGCAGCACTGCAGCTCCAAGCATGCAGCACTGCAGCTCCGAGCATGCAGCACTGCAGCTCCGAGCATGCAGCACTGCAGCTCCAAGCATGCAGCACTGCAGCTCCAAGCATGCAGCACTGCAGCTCCAAGCATGCAGCACTACAGCTCCAAGCATGCAGCACTGCAGCTCCAAGTAGGGTTGAACAAACTACCCGCCCGGGTTGGGTACCCGGTACCCCGACCCGCTTTTAGGGCGGGTCGGGTATCGGAAATCCTGAAAATTACCCGGCGGGTCGGGTCCGGGTTACCCGGGCCGGGTATCAATACCCGCTACCCGAAATGCTACCCGACGTGTCGGGTAACGGGTACCCGACCCGGTCGGGTAAAATATACCCGAGGTCGGGTATTCCACCTAGACATGGGCGTAAGTCGCGCTGTGTTTTAGGTTTTGCGGCAAAACGGGTTTGGAGGTGAGGGGGGACGAGTGGAGCATTTGTGAGGAGAAGTTGGAGTTTGTAGATGGGGAGGAGTTAAGTGCGGTGAAAGGGAGGGAGTTGGGTGGGAGTTGGAGAAGAGGTTGGAGTTTGTAGATGGGTAGGAGTTCAGTGCGGTGAAAGGGAGGGAGTTTGGTTGGAAATTGGAGTTTGTAGACGGGGAGGAGTTCAGTGCGGTGAAAGGGAGGGAGTTGGGTGGTCAAAATTCGACCCCCAGGAAACGCGACTTTCATTTAGGGTTGAGCAAACTACCCGCCCAGGCCGGGTACCCGGTACCCGGACCCGCTTTTAGGGCGGGTCGGGTATCGGAAATCCAGAAAATTACCCGGCGGGTCGGGTCCGGGTTACCCGGGCCGGGTATCAATACCCGCTACCCGAAATGCTACCCGACGTGGCGGGTAACGGGTACCCAACCCGGTCGGGTAAAATATACCCGAGGTCGGGTATTCCACCTAGACATGGGCGTAAGTCGCGCTGTGTTTTAGGTTTTGCGGCAAAACGGGTTTGGAGGTGAGGGGGGACGAGTGGAGCATTTGTGAGGAGAAGTTGGAGTTTGTAGATGGGGAGGAGTTAAGTGCGGTGAAAGGGAGGGAGTTGGGTGGGAGTTGGAGAAGAGGTTGGAGTTTGTAGATGGGTAGGAGTTCAGTGCGGTGAAAGGGAGGGAGTTTTGTTGGAAACGTTGGAGTTTGTAGACAGGGAGGAGTTCAGTGCGGTGAAAGGGAGGGAGTTTGGTTGGAAATTGGAGTTTGTAGACGGGGAGGAGTTCAGTGCGGTGAAAGGGAGGGAGTTGGGTGGTCAAAATTCGACCCCCAGGAAACGCGACTTTCATTTCATTTGAGAGTCGCGTTTTCAGGAACCCTACCTAGCCTAGCCCAACTTTAGGATGTCCACTAGTAGGTGGCGGGTAGTATTACCCGCTTTTCAGGGTAACCGTGTCGGGTATACCCGGATCCGCCAGGCGGGTATTGTATTACCCGCACCCTAAGGCCGGGTCCGGGTAAGGGTCCTGGGCATATTACCCGACCCGGACCCGACCCGAAATTACCCGACCCGAGGTCGGGTATTGCAAAACCGGGTCGGGTCGGGTAATTACCCGGTTTTGCTCAAGCCTAGCTCCAAGCATGCAGCACTGCAGCTCCAAGCATGCAGCACTGCAGCTCCAAGCATGCAGCACTGCAGCTCCAAGCATGCAGCACTGCAGCTCCAAGCATGCAGCACAGCAGCTCCAAGCATGCAGCACTGCAGCTCCAAGCATGCAGCACAGCAGCTCCAAGCATGCAGCACTGCAGCTCCAAGCATGCAGCACTGCAGCTCCAAGCATGCAGCACTGCAGCTCCAAGCATGCAGCAGCAAGAATAAGGCAGCACCAAAGCTACCAGCAGCACTTCAGCTAGCAGCGGATTCACAAACTGGCAGTACCAGACAGACGCCGAGCTGCAGCCAATGGGGAAGAATGCACCACCAAGCCGGTAAACCTCAAGCACACAAAACCATAGCTACAAGCAGCAAACAGGCAGTACCAGAGAGACACCGAACTGCAGCAGATAGGCCTCGATGAAGGAGCCCTGCTGGTAGCCAATGGGGAAAGAATGCACCACCAAGCCAGCAAACCTTATGGGCTTACAGCACCATAGCTGCAAGATTGCAACACCATAGCTACAAGCAGCAAGCAGGGACGTACCAGAGAGACGCCAAGCTGCAGCAGGTAGGCATTGACGAAGGAGCCCTGCTGGTAGCCGATGGGCACATTGCTGTTGATGGCCGTGGTGATGTCCTGTGAGGGAACGAGAGACAGGGGTAGTGGGGAGATAAAACAGAGGGAGTGGGAAGTTAAGAAAGAAGAAAGACGAAGCAGCCCTGCTGGTAGTAGCCGATGGGTACATTGCTGTTGATGGCCGTGGTGATGTCCGGTGAGAGAAAGACAGGGGGGGAGAGAGGGAGAGGGAATGTAAGAAAGAAGAAAGACGAAACAGCTAGACATGGGCAAAAAAAATCGCATCGCATCGCATTTAATTGCGTTTTTGTGATTGCGTTTTTTTTTTTTTTTTTTTTTTTTTTTTTAAATCATCGCGCGATGCGATGAATTAATATCGCGCGATTTAATTGTAATCGCATTTTAATCGCGCTAAAAAACGCGATTTAAATGCGATATGCGATTTTTTTTTTAAATCGCACGCGATGTTGCACTGAAACCCACTACGAAACCACACTAATTATTTGCACTCTAGCTTACGACTGCCTGTGATTCAATTTCCTGGCAGCCGTGGTTTTTTTCTGGTTTTGGGGGGTTTTTTATATTCTGTTTTAAAACGCGATGCGATTTAAAATCGCATCACGCGATTTAATTAAATACCGCATGCGGTTTTAATATTCATCGCGCGCAAAACGCGATGTGCGATTTTTTTTTCCTTTTTTTTTCCAGAAATTAAATCGCGCGATGCGATTTAAAATCGCATCGCATTTAATTAAATCGCCCCCCAATGCGATGCCATTTAAATCGCAATCGCATTATGCCCATGTCTAGAAACAGCCCTGCTGGTAGCACCGTAGCAGATGGGTACATTGCTGTTAATGGCCGTGGTGATGTTCAGGGAGGTAACTGTTGTTGAGCTTCGGATTTATCGCACTAATCGGCTTCTAAATATATAGCATAGGATATATAGGGTTCTGTGACATAGTATATGTAGTATAGTTACTGTAGACTTCAGGGGGTTGGATATACTTCGAGTTAGGGTGCCCCCCCCACGTGCTTAGATTGAAGGGATGTGCCGAATGATCCTAAGTGGGGCGCCTCCCAACATTTGGGACGCAGTTCCAGACTCCCAACCACGTTTCCAACACTTGGTATAGCGGTTCCAGCTGGTGGAACCACCGTTCCCTTTAAGGAGGCACCTCCAAGCCAAGCCCAACCTTGGGGTGCTTCACTGTCCAATCTGGACCATGGACGCCTTGGGCACCCAAATGGGGCACCCAAGCACGTTGGTTCCCCACATGCTCACCTCCAGTCACCCATAAAGCCAACCTTCCCTATTTCAGCTCCTTACCTTCACTCACTTCTTCACTTTCGAGAGGTTCTAGGGCTCTAAGCCTTTCACCATGGCAGTCTCCTTGTGCTTTCAGCTGTAGTGCACTGATGCTACTTTGCTTTGCCCATTTCATGGGTTTCCTTTGCTACAATCACAAAGTGGGAGAGAGGAGAAACGAGCCTATTCACTTGCTTCTAGACTGTTCATCGTGGAGCTCACCAGAGCAGTAAGGAAGGATGCCAAGAGCTCAATCAGCAATACGAGTTTAGTGACATCTCAAGAGCGACGATGCCAATAGCTCAAAAAAACGTTGAGGGTGAGAAGTAGAAGCTATAATAGAATGGCGGGGGTGAGGAGAACGCACCAGGATGGTGGGGGTGAGCCTTTGAACGGTGAGGATGGCAGTGAGGTTGGAGGTGTAGGTGGCGAGGAAGAGAAAGGCCAGCATGAGATAGAAGAGGTTCAGTAGACGCTCTAGAATGGTGGGGGCGAGATTTTTTGAAATGCGAGCACGGAAACAGAGAGGCCAAGTGAACTCACCAGGATGGTGGGGGTGAGCCTTTGAACGGTGAGGATGGCAGTGAGGTTGGAGGTGTAGGTGGCGAGGAAGAGAAACGCAAGCACAAGCCACATGCCGAGCAGCACTCGTGCTAGGACAGAGCGGATTGAGTAGACTGCGTTGCAATGGAGGGAATGAGAGGGGGGGGGCAGCGAGGGTGGAGGGTAATGAGGGTGGAGGGGAGAGAAACGGGAGCACGCGCCACATGCACAGCAGCACGCGAGCTAGAACGGAGCGGATTGAGTAGATTGCACCGATCAAGGTGTGAGGGTTAGGAGGAGATAAGCCAGCAAGCGCCACATGCACAGCAAACTTCGAACATCCTCGTCCTTCTATAATAAGATGGATTGGATAAGCAAGCAGCACAAAAGGCCTACCTAAATATAACGGAGTAGAGAGCGTGAATCCCACACCTGCCCGAGTGAACACCACTTGGGTGCCATAGGTCTTTACGCGGCAACAACTTGTGAAAAACGCTTAAGTAAAAAGTGAGTGGTAGAGCGTGCTTGTAATTGGATAAGCAAGCAGCACAAAAGGCCTACCAATAACGGAGTAGAGAGTGTGAATCCCAAACCTGCCAAAGGGAGGAGTGAAACGAAAAGCACAGAGAACTAGGAACGGTGAGTATTTGAAGCGCCTAAAAAAACAGCATTAGCAGTGACCAACCGTGCACCGCATGGCATGAAGACAGCATCGAATAAACATTGGAGGGAGGGACGTCAGCATGATAGGCATGAGAAAAATCGGGTATTTACCCGACCCGGCCCTGTTTTGCTATACCCGACTCCGGGTCGGGTATTTTCGGGTCGGGTACGGGTCGGGTAACATGTTACATGCCTAGGACCAATACCCGGACCCGGGATTCGGCGGCGGGTAATTTTATACACGCCTGGCGGGTCCGGGTTTTACCCGACCCGGTTTCCTCGATAAGTGGGTAGTATTACCCGCTTTTCCTACCCTGCTGAGCTAAACCTACGACCTAAAAACGTGAGTCACGGGAGGCAGTAAGAGGTGCATCAGATCTTTTACAGTTCTGGTGAGTAAGGCGTGAGTGGGGAGGTGGTTGGGTTTTCTAGTTGGGATGGGGTTGTGTGCGGTTTTTGGGGGTTTGATATTTTGACCCCCAGAGTCAATTGGTTGGAACTCCAACCAATGTGGTGCTGTGCGGTTGGCTGGATTCAGGTTGGGTTGCAAAATCGATGGGGGAAATTCGATTGGTTTAAATTCCAACCAATTTCCCCCAATTCAACCGCTTTGAAAATGCATCTGGATCTACGAAATCCAACCCCTGCCACTCTACAATGCTCTACGTGACCTAGCAGCTCACGTAACCTATGAAATTTCTCTACCAGCGCGACCAATGTCGCGCTGGTTCCGTCGGGTAGACACACTACCCGATTTCGGGTCGGGTACCCGTTACCCGACGTGTCGGGTAACGTTTCGGGTAACGGGTATCGAATACCCGCCCGGGTAACCCGGACCCGACCCACCGGGTAATTTTCAGGATTCCCGATACCCTACCCGCCCTAAAAGCGGATCCGGGTAACGGGTACCCCACCCGGGCGGGTAGTATGCTCAAGCCTACGGCATGAGGCTATGCATGATATGGAAATGATAAGAATTTCAAAAGAAGTCAGCCCTCTCCCCATCCCATATAGCAGTGATCACAAGCTGGTGCAGCTTCGCCCGGAAGTGTGCACGCATTGAGCTTCTGCTCCAAAAACACCATGAGTGCAGGCACCCACATAGACAGACGGCTGTTCGTCTCACCATGTAGCCGTGATCACAAGCTGGTGCAGCTTCGCCCGGAAGTGGGCGTTGAGGCGCCACTCCAGAAACACCATGAGCGCGCCTGTGAGCAGAGAGAGCCCCAGCAGCGCGGCCCACATGGAGGGGGTGAAGGGTACAAAGGCCGTCCAGGGGTCGCTGCTCTCCCTGGCGTAGCCAATGAGACTCAGACCTGATTGCTGGCGAGGGGAGGGGGGAAGAAGGGAGGGAGACGAGGGGAAGAAGAGGGGGAGAGACACGCGTAGCCAATGAGACTCATCCCCGATTGCTGGAGGGGAAAAACGGGAAGCACAGGGGGGGAAAGAGGGGAAGACGGGGGGGAGACGAGAAGAAAAAGAGGAAAAGAAACACGATGACCGTCCCTCAAAGCCCCTCCAGCGCGGCCCACATGGAGGGGGTGAAGGGCGTAACGGCGGTCCATGGGTCACTGCTCTCCCTCGCGTAGCCAATGAGAATCAGCCCCGATTGCTGGCGAGAGATGGGGTGCGAGGCCAGAGGGGGAGGTCAAGGTGGATGTGAGGGCAGGATAAGAGAGTGCGATGACAGCTGGATTCCAGGAGGTCAGTGGGTAGAATCTTCAGCCATGAGACTGGGCGAGCAGCAGTGAAGGAGATTCTTCTTTTGCTTAAGTATCTTCTTCCCTGTCTCATGGCTGAAGGTTCTTAGAGTGGACGTGAGGGTTGCATAAGAGAGTGCGATGACAGGTGGATTCAAGGAGGCCAGTGGGTAGAGTCCTGTATGGAGTGGAAAACTGACAAGAAGGGCAGCGGTGGGCGGTTGGGTGATGTAGTGGCGGCACATACAAAGGATGGGCTGGGTGATGTAGTGGCTGCACATACAAGGATGGGCTGGGTGATGTAGTGGCGGCACATACAAAGGATGGGTTGGGTGATGTAGTGGCTGCACATACAAGGATGGGTTGGGTGATGTAGTGGCTGCACATACAAGGATGGGTTGGGTGATGTAGTGGCGGCACATACAAGGATGGGTTGGGTGAAATAGACCATCTTGAGGCGGGTGTCCACGACTGTAATGTCGCCCACCGCCCCATCAAACTCCTGTAGGCAGGGACGTGGGAGAGAGGGGCATAAGGAAGGATGACAGAGAGAAAGGCACACAGCGAAGAGAAGGGTGACAGAAAAAAGTGGCAGAGAGAGGCAGAGCAAGGCAGAGCAAGGCAGAGCAAGGCAGAGCAAGGCAGAGCAAGGCAGAGCAAGGCAGAGCAAGGCAGAGCAAGGGATCATGACTGCTTGAGAGAGGCAAGATGCTCGAGAACTTGAACCTAGGCATTTTCTGCACCACTCACCACTCACCACCCCCTGCACGAACTCTCTGCATCCCGTCCTCTCACCCAATCGGTAACAGCCTGCACCATCGGACTGACCTTATTCGCTACAGCCTGCACTCGCTACAGCCCCCACTACCTGACCTTTTTCACTACAGACTGCACCATCTGAGTGACCTCATTCGCTACAGCCTGCACTCGCTACAGCCCTACCTGGCCTTTTTCACTGCAGACTGCACCATCTGACTGACCTCATTCGCTACAGCCTGCACCATCTGGGTGTAGCTGATCAGGGCGTCAGGGTACTCTACAAGCTCGTAGTCGAGCTTATAAGGGAGACGGGCCACGGCCATGCGAAACAGATCCACACAGTAGCCGGAGAACCGGGCGTTGCCCAGGCTTTGGTCAGCGGAGATATTGACGAACTGCAGGTAGATCTGGGAGAGGTGGTATCACAGGGGAGGAGGGGGAGAGGGAAGGGAGGGGAGGGGAGGGGGGAAGAAAGGGGTACAAAGTTACAAACGCATTGAGCACCAACGCATGGAGCACCAACGCATGGAGCACCAACGCATGGAGCACCAACGCATGGAGCACCAACGCATGGAGCACCAACGCATTGAGCACCAACGCATTGAGCACCAACGCATTGAGCACCAACGCATGGAGCACCAACGCATTGAGCACCAACGCATTGAGCACCAACGCATTGAGCACCAACGCATTGAGCACCAACGCATGGAGCACCAACGCATGGAGCACCAACGCATGGAGCACCAACGCATTGAGCACCAACGCATTGAGCACCAACGCATTGAGCACCAACGCATGGAGCACCAACGCATTGAGCACCAACGCATTGAGCACCAACGCATTGAGCACCAACGCATTGAGCACCAACGCATTGAGCACCAACGCATTGAGCACCAACGCATTGAGCACCAACGCATTGAGCACCAACGCATTGAGCACCAACGCATTGAGCACCAACGCATTGAGCACCAACGCATTGAGCACCAACGCATTGAGCACCAACGCATGGAGCACCAACGCATTGAGCACCAACGCATTGAGCACCAACGCATTGAGCACCAACGCATGGAGCACCAACGCATGAGCACCAACGCATTGAGCACCAACGCATTGAGCACCAACGCATGGAGCACCAACGCATTGAGCACCAACGCATGGAGCACCAACGCATTGAGCACCAACGCATTGAGCACCAACGCATTGAGCACCAACGCATGGAGCACCAACGCATTGAGCACCAACGCATTGAGCACCAACGCATTGAGCACCAACGCATGGAGCACCAACGCATTGAGCACCAACGCATTGAGCACCAACGCATTGAGCACCAACGCATGAGCACCAACGCATTGAGCACCAACGCATTGAGCACCAACGCATGAGCACCAACGCATTGAGCACCAACGCATGGAGCACCAACGCATTGAGCACCAACGCATGGAGCACCAACGCATTGAGCACCAACGCATGGAGCACCAACGCATTGAGCACCAACGCATTGAGCACCAACGCATGAGCACCAACGCATGAGCACCAACGCATGAGCACCAACGCATGGAGCACGCAACCAACGCATGGAGCACCAACGCATTGAGCACCAACGCATGGAGCACCAACGCATGGAGCGCCAACGCATGGAGCACCAGCGCATGGAGCACCAACGCATGGAGCACCAACGCATGGAGCACCAACGCATGGAGCACCAACGCATGGAGCACCAACGCATGGAGCACCAACGCATGGAGCACATGGAATGGAAACCAGGACAAGACCGAGAAACAAGAGATTATCTTGATGTTTGAGAAACGTGGCACCGCCAGGCAAAACAGTTTCACAGAGCAGCCGGCCGGAGGAGCGGGCGCTGACTACACCTTGGTTGACTGACGAGATGTTAGCGAATCGCAGGTATTTCAAGGGTCAAGGGACCGTCAGATCAGACCGGTTGCGAGGAACACAATGATGAGCTGAATTGAACTAGACCTACTAGGAGCCCCCTTCCTAACGAGCTTCTTTGGCACGTAACATTTCCTACTACTACCAGTTTCTTCACACCAGTGGCAACAGCTCAAACAGGCTTTCATCGAGACGTAACGTATCCACTCTTACCAGCTTCTTCACAACGACTGCTTTTCGTAGAGACGTAACCCCTACAGCTTCTTACCAGCTTCTTTGGTACAGCGATACGAACTCGCCGCTTCGGAAAAGCTCCTCTGGGAGGCTGGAAATGGCAAGCACAGGTGAGGGGTGAAAGACACAGCAGTAGAATAAGTAAAGATAAGCGGTAGAGTACGTAAGGAAGGCCTCTTAGTGGTGGACTAAAAAAAAAAAAAAAAAAAAAAAGGTTCTCTGCAGGGTGAAATACACAGCAGTAGAGGAACCACACAAGAGAAGACACAAATGGGACAGAAGAGACAAAAGGGACAAATGGGAAAGAAGGAACAGAAGAGACAGAAGAGGCAGAAGGGACAAAAGCGAAAGACGGGACAGAAGAGGCAGAAGCGACAGAAGCACAGAAGACACAGAAGGCAGGCAAGACACAGAAAGCACACACAAACAGCGTTCAGAGAACCAGCAGAGCAGCAGTGTGCAGCACAGCGCGCATTGTACGGCTTAGAACAAGCGCCTTGTCACGAGAATACAGAAAACAAGACTGGAAAAGGCTGGGTGCAAGATTAAACAACACAATTGGCTCAAGATGAAGAGTTGACATACAGAGATGTGCATGCATGGTGCACAGCAGCAGACCAGCAGCTGAAGATGCACCTGTGTAAGCCCTCCAGGAAAGACAATGTCAAAACGAAATTACTGACACACAGATGCACGCACCTGTGTCCGCCCTCCAGGAAAGACAATGTCAACCGATTGCTGCTGCGCCCCGCCATCGGTCGCATTCGCCTGCAGTGAAACCGAGACCGAGACGGAAAGGAGGCAAAAGAAGCCTGAGTTAAGAACCGTACATCATGCCACATGGTGACGTCGAGTGGAGCGCCTGCTTTAACTAGATGATGTTTGTGTTGACTCAAAAATCACCACCTGCTTTAACCGTCTCAAGGACAATCCGTAACCACCTGAGGCTCCTCAAAACCACCACACCACCAAACTACAAACATTCTTGAACCCACCAGAGGCCCTCGAATCCCAAGAATGCTTTTTTAGAAGCCCAAAAAAACGCAACCTATGCTCTCTCAGCTCACCGAAGCAGCTGCTGCTTGGAAGAGGTGATGGATGGGATGGGAGGGAGGGAGACTTGTAACCAACAGGCACCGCACCATCGCCACCTTGCCTTCTAGGCTGACATTCTCGTGAAACCACAATCACCTGTGCTCGCACCAGAGGCTTCTAGAAGCGCAGCCAAGCTCACCGAAGCAGCTGCTGCTTGGAAGAGGCGGCGGATGGGAGGGAGACCAGTAACCAACAGGCACCAGCTCCACCACCTTGCCTTCCATTCCAGGCTGACATTCGTGCGAGACCGCAATCACCAGTGCACGCACCACGCACCAGAGGCTTCTAGTAGCGCAGCCCAGCTCACCGAAATAGCTGGTGCTTGGAAGAGGCGGCGCGTGGGAGACCAGTAGCCCACCGGCACCACCTTCACTTTCCCGTCCACGCTGACTGGAGCAGTGATGCCAGCGGCATTCACAAGGGACTCTGTAGACTGCATTGACTCTGTTGACTGCGTTGACCCTGCGTTTACAGGGGTGCTCTTGTGGGCTTGGATGTTGAGGATGCGGGTCATGTTGCTCTGCTGGTCGCCCCAAGGGGTCAGGGAGATGGTGCCTGATGCACCCAGGAATGTGGTTCGCAGCATGGCTTCCCGCAGGGTGGGGCCCACTGGAGTGAGGGGTTCAAACGGGGAGAAAGGGCGAATGCCAGTGATGTAAGGGGCAGCAGGTGTGCTTGTATTCTTGGGGGGGGGTGTGGGGTGGAGGGGGGAGGACAGCAGAAACCAAGGACAAGATAGATAACAAGGGGAGAAGGGGGGAGATGGAGAGCAAGAGGGAAAGGAAGAGGGAGAGGAAGAGAGAGAGGAAGAGGGAGAGAGCTCACATGGGCTTCGCTGGAGTGATGCGAGTGGGGGAATGAGGCGCTGCTCAGCACCGCTATCGCTGCCATGGTTACCACTGCTGCTGTGGCTACTGTTGCTGCTGCCGCCGCTGCTGTCTGCACTGCTGCAATTGCTGCCATTGCTGCTCATGTCAGCGCCCTTGCTGCTCTCTGGCAGCAGGTCCAAGTTGAGGCGTGACCAGGGCAAATCAGAGGGCGAAGTGAGGTTAGTGAGTGGCCCTGTTGTGGTAGTGGTGTTTTCGGACGAAGAGTTGGTGGTGCTGGTAGAGGTGTTGTTAGTATAGAGGATAGAGTGTAGAGCATGGGCGATGAGGAAGACTGCGTCATAGGAAGCCAGTGCATAGGCCATGGGCATCTGCGGCAGGCCAAGAGGCATGGCATGGGAATGGGAACAGCAGGGGTGAATGAGGGCAATAGAGCGATGCAAAATAGCAGGAGCGCGTGAGAGGGGGGGGACTGGGGGAAGAACGCAGCTATGGAAGCAGATGAGTTTTGGAGGCGCCTCAAAACCCGTGGGATGGGGAGATGAACGCATCAAAGTTCATTTCAAAGGCACCTCGAAAACTGACCTGGCGGCTGACGTTGGGGAAGCGCACTGGGTCCAGCGACCGCCACTTGATGACGAACGCAGCTAAGGGAGCGGTTACGGGGATGTCAGTGGCAGTCACTACCATGCCCTGGGGGCATGTAGGGGGGTAGAGAGAATGGGGGGAGAAGAACGGGGAGAGAAAGCAGAGGGGGTGTGGATGTGGAGAGAGCATGGTTAAGGGGATGGGATGTGAGTGGCCGTCACTACCATGCCCTGGGGGCATGTAGGGGGGTAGAGAGAATGGGGGGAGAAGAACGGGGAGAGAAAGCACAGAGGGGGTGTGGATGTGGAGAGAGCATGGTTAAGGGGATGGGATGTGAGTGGCCGTCACTACCATGCCCTGGGGGCATGTAGGGGGGTAGAGAGAATGGGGGGAGAAGAACGGGGAGAGAAAGCACAGAGGGGGTGTGGATGTGGAGAGAGCATGGTTAAGGGGATGTGATGTGGGTGGCCGTCACTACCATGCCCTGGGAGAGCGCACGGGGTTAGAAAGAATGGGGAGAGCGTGGGGAGAGAGAGCAGGGGAGAGCCGGCGTGGGGAAAGATTGCCCTATTGACAAGCCTCGCAAGGCAGTAATAGAAAAGCAATCACGATGGCATCCACCACGACAGCATTGACGATTGCAATCCCTCTGATGCCCTGCCCGCCACCACACACCTTAGCGTACTGCAGTGCAGAGCCAGTGAGGAGAGCGCTGCCCTCGGTGGCGATCCACACGTTGTTTGCCGAAAACAGCCCCAGCTTGTCCGCTGCTCATGAACATGGGAGAGGCACGCAGGGGACAGGAGGGGAGAAATGCAGCAGGGATGGGATGTGGAGGTATGTTGAAAGGCTGCACACACACGCACATAGGCATGCACACACACGCACATGGGCATACACACACACGCACATGGGCATGCACACACACGCACATGGGCATGCACACACACGCACATAGGCATGCACACACACGCACACGGGCATGCACACACACGCACATAGGCATGCACACACACGCACATGGGCGCAGGGGAGGCGGGAAGATTGCACTTGGGCCCTTTGCAGAGAGTTAACAGCAATTGCTTTTCATTCAGCCTTGCTGCCCACCCCAACGTCTTTCTCACTCTCTCACCCTCTCAACCGCTCCCCTCCTGCCACATACTTCGCTCACATCACTCACCAGCAAGAATGATGGTCTTGGCAACAGCAGCCGACGCGTGCAGCACATACACAGCAATGTCCACTTCTAGCAGCAGCTGCAGGTGCTGCTCCACTGCTGCTGTTGTGTCCCCAGGAGAGATGGCCACGCGATGGGCCATGCTGATGCCTTTCTGCAAACAAGGGAGGGCGGGTGGAAGTATCCAGGGGATGCGGAAAGGCAGGGGAGGGAACAGAGAATCAAATCAGCAGGTGCCTCTCCTGCAGCAGCAGCAGGTGCGTCTCCTCTCCACCTCTACTGCTGCGTCCCCAGGAGAGATGGCCACGCAATGAGCCACGCGGATGGCTTGCTGCGGATAGAAAGAGGAGGGAGAGGGAGGGAGGGAGGGGGGGGGAAGCAGAGACTCAATGCTCCACTCCGGCAGCAGCAGTACATGCCTCCCCTCCTCTGCTGCTGTGCTCCCAGGAGAGATGGCCACGCAATGAGCCATGCGGATGCCTTGCAGCGGATAAGGAGGAGGGAGAGGGAGGGAGGGGGAGGGAGGGAAGGAGAGGGGGGGAGCAGAGTCTCGATGCTCAACTCCAGCCGTGGCAGTAAATGCCTCCCCTCCTCTGCTGCTGTGCTCCCAGGAGTGATGGCCACGCGATGTGCCATGCGGATACCTTGCAGCGGAACAGGAAGTGGAGGGGGCAGGCGTGCGGCTGACTGACAGACAGTCTGCAGCAGACAAGCAACATAGGTGGATGCTACGATCCGAGGATTCACACAGAGATGTGCTACTGCCTGCCAGGATTGGATGAGTTGACAGAACAGGGGCAGGGCAGGGATACTCACATTCGCAGCAGCCACTCACATCCAGTTGCAATCACTCACACTCACTGCAATCACTCAAACTCACTGCAATCACTCACTCCTGGGATCACTGAAAGCAAAAATAAAAAAAACTGCTATCACTCACGCTCACTGCAATCACTCACACTTACTGCAGTCACTCACACTTACTGCAGTCACTCACATTAAGCGCAAGCACGCATGTTTCAAGGGCCGTGATTCCATTGGCCCCGTACCGGTCATCGCTGTGAACTGCAATGAACTCCCTCCACTCGTAGATCGCCAGAATATCTGGCGGCAATGGGAAGCGGACGAATGTGAGCATCACTGAGTTTACTTTTAAGCCGGCTCAGAAGTCGATTTGAGTCGACTCAAAAGTCACCTCAAATGACAACGAACTCCCTCCACTTGTAGATCGCCAGAATGTCTACTGTTGGGGGAAAAACGGATGGACGTGACGTGAGCATCAGTGAGACTCATGGCAAGATGGCGACACAGCGAATAGAAAGAGCAGATGAACACTACCTGGTTAAGGGAAAAGCATGCGTACCTGCAATGGCCTTCATCTGGTGCCCGTCGCTCTGCACGGTGCGCATGAAGAAGGGGCGGTTACCAGCGATGGTCAGCTGGGCGTCTGTCAGCAGACGCTGAGATCAACGGAACCTTGGAAATATAGAGCCGGGAGGATGGTGGGGAGGGTTGGCGAGAGCACTTGCGTACCTGCAATGGCCTTCATCTGGTGGCCGTCACCCTGCACAGTGCGCATGAAGAAGGGGCGGTTGCCACCGACGGTCAGCTGGGCGTCTGTTGCAGACGCAGACACGAAGGGCACCTGCGTGGCGGTGGCAAACGGGCTCACGAGTGCTGCTTGCTCTGACGAGTGCGGGCCGATCACTGCCACGGGATGATGCAGCACAAGGCTGTAGGCTGAGAGCGTGTGGAAAAAGGGGGTCGGATACATACCACAGGGAGGAGTGAGAAAGGGACTGCAAACGGGACCTGCGTGGCAGTGGCAAACGGGCTCACGAGCACAGCTTGCTCTGATGTGTCAGGGCCAATCACTGCAACTGGATGCTGCAGCACAAGGCTGTAGGTAGGCTGACGGTGTGTGTGCGAGGGGGGCGAGGGGGTGAGCAGGGGTTGTTAAGGAGTGGGGGGGAAAAGCGCGGAAGGAGAGTGGTGAGCTGGATGTCCGTAGAACTGCAAGTGCTGCTTGCTCTCACGTGTCTGGGCCGATCACTGCCACCGCATTCTGCAGCACAAGGCTGTAGGCTGAGAGTGCGCGTGCGGGGAGAGAGAGCACACAAGGGGAGTGCGAAGAGATGTGAAGCTGTGTAGTGGATGCAGGACTCATTCACCTGTCATGCTGCCACGCCTCTCACCTGCCATCATGCTGCCATGCCTCTCACCTGCCATCATGCTGCCATGTCTCTCACCAGCCATCATGCTGCCATGCCTCTCACCTGCCAATGCCATCATGCTGCCATGCCTCTCACCTGCCATCATGCTGCCATGCCTCTCACCTGCCATCATGCTGCCATGTCTCTCACCAGCCATCATGCTGCCATGCCTCTCACCTGCCAATGCCATCATGCTGCCATGCCTCTCACCTGCCATCATGCTGCCATGCCTCTCACCTGCCATCATGTTACCATACCTCTCACCTGCCACCATGCTGCCATGCCTCTCACCTGCCATCATGCTGCCATGCCTCTCACCTGCCATCATGCTGCCATGCCTCTCACCTGCCATCATGCTGCCATGCCTCTCACCTGCCATCATGCTGCCATGCCTCTCACCTGCAATCATGCTGCCATGCCTCTCACCTGCCATCATGCTGCCATGCCTCTCACCTGCCATCATGCTGCCATGCCTCTCACCTGCCATCATGCTACCATGCCTCTCACATGCCATCATGCTGCCATGCCTCTCACCTGCCATCATGCTTCCATGCCTCTCACATGCCATCATGCTGCCATGCCTCTCACCTGCCATCACACTGACTGCAGGCGTGCACTCGCATACGTGCAGACACACGCACCCATGCACCCATGCCTATGCACCCATGCCTCTCTCACCTGCCATCATGCTACCGATGGGAGCGGCCATAGAGTAGTTGGCAGTGGTGAGGCGCAGATGGTGATGTGGGAGGATGGAGGGGTCGCTGTTGATGGCATCCACTGCCATCACGCTGCCTGCAGGCGTGCTTACACATGCACACATACATGCACCATGCATGCACATGCACACATACATGCACCATGCGTGCACATGCATACGCACGCACGCACACACACATCAAGAAGAGGCATGGAGGAGGGAGAGGAGAGAAAGCACGCGCACAAACAACTGTTGTTGAAAACCTGCTGAGACTGGAATCGAATGTCCATTGACATATTCCGACACACAGAGCATGCCTGCGTGTGGGAGTCAAGACACTCCGCTCAAAAGAGCCATGCAACATTTTACCACCCAACAGACCATGCCTGCGCCCAGGTCAGCGTGCCAGGTCAGCTGATGCCAGAATATCATGTTAGCTGGAACAACCAATCTCTATCATCAGTCACCCCACCTACCAAATCCATCCCGGGCCCCTCATTCACCCCAAAAATCACACCTGCCGGCCCTGAGGAGTCTCCCAATCACCTCACTTCCCTCTGACTGGTTTCTGCATATTATTCCGCCTCACTATAATCCTCTTTAACCCACTCACCCACCAGCCTTTCCTTGAAACGCCTGACGATCACCCCAACCTCCACCGCATCGCACCTTCCTGGACCCCTCATACAAACCCAGCCACCCCACCTGCCAGCATATGAATGCCTTCAGCGACGTCCGTTGCGACGAGGCACCCGATCTTCACCTCATTCTCTTTTGATAAAACTCTTCTGGAGTCAACTCCACTGACGGATATCGGCGTCGAAATATCACCATTATAAGTCGACTCACTACTAGACGCAGTGCTGGATGCACTAGGAGCAGGTTGTTCAGACGGCTCCCAAACATGGATGTTACCACGCGTCGAGTTAGCGTTGTCAGAGGTTAACGCACTGAGCTGGCGGGAAATAAGTACTTGTTGCTCGGCGTCAGTGACTGTCAGTTCGCTAGTGCGATTCATGCAGCATGGTTGCGATGAAACGTCAGCTAGTGGCTCAATTTCAGGACTTAATCGTCCTGATGATGACGCGACCAGTGGACACCAGAAGTTGAATGCAATAATCGCGACGAGAATAAACCACGTACGAACAGACCACTTGGGGGAACTATTCCTGTTTGTACATAGCCGGCTCAGTGCTGACGGGACACGGTGAACTTGTCGACTAGGTAAAGGAGAACTGTCAGTTAATGTGACTGTACCCGACGGAATGTCGTTAGAAGCCGCCATCGGTAAAAATAAGCAGGTTGTAGTTCGAGTTATAGGCTGTCCTCGCACTGGTAAGCATATTTACAGTTCCTGCTTAGCAGAAAAGGAGGAACGAGTTGCTTCTAATGGCGTGAAGTTGGGTTACAAAGCAATAGCTAGCCGTGCTCCTCCTCAGTTGCTTCTAAGTTAGGCAATGGCCAAGCACCAGTGTTGACCAAACACACATCCTGCTGGCTGTGTTGCCTCAGTCTACAGTGGCTGACTGAGGCAGAAACTGGCCCAAACAGCGAAAACAGCAACAAAAAACACCCCCGTCCAAGGTGATGAGAGAGTATTTAGGAACTGGTGCCGAATCAGAAGGCAGGTTGCCTGGCGTGACTTGTGAAAGAGTGACCCCCTGCGAAGAGAAGTTGGTTGTTGCCGAAAACGAGCGACTGGCATTACGAGGACCTTCTGTAAACGCGAGCTTGACACCTACCTGACACGAGGCTCAACTCTGTGGACCTCGCATCTGGAACTAGGGAATTTGAACAAGCCCCCACCCGAACCTCAAATGGTGCTAGGTTTGTGATTAGTTCCTGATGGTTTCAATCAGGTGGTGTACGGTGCTGTGTGGTGCAGGTAACTTTGATGTTGCCGAACTTGGTGGGGTCTACGATTTTCTCGCCGTCCCTGTCGTCAGCTTCCATGTTGCCTCCCTCGCTGAACTCTACTCCTTCAGCTTCTTTCGCAGCCTGGTTGTGTTCCATCGGTTTTATGCGTTACTGCTGGGTACGAATGAGCAGGCCACATGATGAGGTTGCCTTTATTTTGAAGTTTTTGCACGATGAGCCAATAGTACAGTGACTAGTATCCAATATGCGCCGTCAGCACCGCTGGGTGATATATGCTTCTTCTCAATCCAAGAAACCCTAGCCACTCTACGCTATTCGCTGAAATTTTCTGATCAGTTTTCCAATCCCTAGGGCATGGCGCTATCCGGTGTGATGCGGAGGTCGATCCGGCGATTAAAGGACCCGTTACAGTCACAATGCGTCGTCCTGATAGCTTCGCTGAGATCGCACATAGTCGGTCCCACTCTGAGCGAGGCTGGCGTCAGCAGCTCGTATCGCGAGCCGGTTTATTCCGTTATCCCTGACGATTTCCGTCCAAGTTCGTTCCTTACTGGTTCGTCCAACGGCATTCCGCCCTTTGCTTCCAGATCGCCGTCCGATTCTGATCCAACGGTAGGAAGCATCGCTGATCTACGATCTGAAGATATTTCTACGGCTCAGATCCTTCCAGATTCTCGAAAATCGGCCCACAAGTCGTCCCGCGTTCATCCACCTTATAAGGTCTTCTCAAGTCCCGTACAATCTCCAACCACACAGTACTTATCCAACCATATACACTGGAGACAGGAGGACGAAGAGAGAGGAACATTGGAACAAGCCTCAGCATATACACCTAGAATTAGACCTGGGCCTAGCTCTCCTGTCTGGGTTGCGCAGTACCAAGCGGGCACAGGAGCTTGTACGGCACGGGACTTGTCGCCTAGCTTTGCTAGGCTAGCCAGCAGTACAGCAGCAGGCAGCAACGGTGACGGTAGTAGAGATGGCAACAGCAGCAACGCCAGCAGAAGCATTAGTGACAGTACCAGCACCAGCAGCGACAGCAGCAGCGACAGCAGTGCTAGAAGTGGTAGCGGCAGCAGCGGTGGTGAGAGTGCATCGTGGATAGAGCGGTATTTGCCAGCCCCAGTGCAGCCGTTTGCTCATCTGGCTCGCCTGGACAAGCCCACTGGCACGTGGCTGCTCGCCTGGCCTTGCTTCTGGTATGATCAGCCATTGACGACCGTCCTCTGGCATGCTATGCTTCCCGCTGGTGTTGGTGCTTCTTGTGGGATTGCTCGTAGCCTGGTGTCCTCTGGTGTGTTTCCCCCAGGGAGCAGGCTGCTCCGTCAGAAGCCTGCTGGATCGAGGCATTGACGCCCAAGCTCCATTGCGCTGGCCGCCCTTCCCTTTCTCCTTTCCTATCCCTTCCTTCCCTCCTCTTCCCCACTAGGTCGATTGCCCTGGCTGCTCCAGCAGGCTCTCTCCCGGACCCTTACTCCTCTTCCTCTTCGGCTCAGACGATTTTTTAGGCGCCTATAAAAATTCCTATCCCCTCCTTCCCTCCTCCTCCCCCCAAGGTCCATCGCGCTGGTTGCTAAAGCAGGCTCTCTCCCCGACCCTTTACTCCTCTTCCTCTTCGGCTCAGGAGCAGTGCTCATAAGAGGAGCGGGCTGCACCGTGAACGATCTGCTGGACCGAGACTTTGACGCCAAGGTTCATTTCTCTGGCCGCCCTCCTTTCTTACCCTCCTTTCCCTCTTCCCCCCTCCGTCCCTCCTCTCTTCCACTTCCCCCCCCCAAGGTCCATCGCCCTGGCTGCTCCAGCAGGCGCTCTCCCCGACCCTTTACTCCTCTTCCTCTTTGGCTCGGGAGCAGTGCTCTTAAGAGGAGCGGGCTGCACCATCAACGATCTGCTTGATCAAGACTTTGACGCCAAGGTGGCGCGAACCAGGACCCGCCCTCTGCCTGCCGGGGCTGTCACCCCCCTCGGTGCTTCATCTTTTCTCGGGTTACAGTTACTGCTGGGGCTGGGAATACTGGTGCAGCTGAACACGTACAGGTGAGGTCGTTTTCAGCGCGTCAGACAGTGGTGCAGGATAAGTGGGTGGATCATGGAGCAAGGGTATTTCTGCATGTTACAGGACGCGATGTGAGCGTGAGGCTGAAGGGAGCCACGCAGAAGTGCCGCCATCTTGTGAGTACATGCTTGTGAGCATTTGTGCAGTGCAGTGCAGCCCGTGCACTCGTTGCCCCCGTTCTACCCATCGTTCTCTCTCCCGGGTCCACTACCTCTGCCTCGTGGTGCGTGCCTCGTGCAGCCAGGTGTTGGGAGCAGCATCACTGCCCCTCGTCTTCTCCTACCCCCTTACGAAGCGATTCACTCACTGGGTAAGGTCTTACGTGGGTGTGCATGCCTTGTGGTGATGTTGTAAGCTTCAAAATTGCCTCCATGCCTTCCCTGTCTTTCTTGCTCCAGCCTCAAGCCTGCCTCGACCTTGTCTTCAACTGGGATGCTCTCTTGGGCTGGACTGGGCTGGGGTGGGCACAGCTCGGGCAACCTCTTGCACGTGCAATTTCTCCTACTTGCCGTCACTGAGGCACTTTATTCCGTCCACTCCCTTCTTCCCGCTCCCAGCCTCAAGCTTATCTCGGTCTTGTTTTCAACTGGGGTGCTCTTCTGGGCTGGGCGGCAGTGCACGGCTCGCTGAACCTGCCAGCTGTGCTGCCGCTGTATGCGGGCGGCATCTGTTGGACGCTAGTGTACGACACTATCTACGCTCACCAGGTAATGAAACCCCTTTCGATAGGCTCATCTGCTGTGCTAGTATACAACACGATCTATAGTCACCAAGAATGGACCTCAGAACGATGGTTTTTCAGGCGACCCTTTTTGCATGCTACCAACCCCCCTTCTAACAAGGGTCAACAGAAACCTGTAAACAACATGGCAAAGGCAAAGCAGACGACGTCACGGCAGGAGTGAAGTCAGCAGCGCTGCTCTTTGCCCGCTGCACACCATTCCGGTTCTCCAGCGTTTGCAGATGCCCTGTACTGTACACTTGTCCTCCAACTCACCCTTCTTCTTTATGCCTCCAGTGGCCCCCGTGGCCACAGGGCAAGGCACGCGACATCTTTTGAGGCGCCTCAAAAGCGCCCCCGTGGCCACAGGGCAAGGCAGGCGACATCTTTTGAGGCGCCTCAAAAGCGCCCCCGTGGCCACAGGGCAAGGCAGGCGACATCTTTTGAGGCGCCTCAAAAGCGCCCCCGTGGCCACAGGGCAAGGCAGGCGACATCACAGCAGAGCGAAATCAAATCAACAGCTTTGCTCTTTACTTACCGGGCTGCTTCATGCCGTTCCATTTCTAACGTGCTTGTAGATGATCTTGTACCATTGTGTTTTCTTCTCGATGCCTCCAGTGTCACAGAATCACAGGACAAACAAGGTGGACGACATTACGGCAGGGTTCAAGTCCACAGCTTTGCTCTTCGCCCACCGCACACCCTTCTAGCTGGCCATGCTGCTTGCTGTCTCACTCAACCCCTCTCCCTCCCATGCTACGAGTCCCCTCCATGATGTTCCTCTTGCATCTCCTCAGGACAAGGCGGACGACATCACCGCAGGAGTGAAGTCCACAGCGCTGCTCTTTGCCCACCGCACGCCCTTCTAGCCATTCTGCCTACTCTCTCGCTCCAGCACACTCTCCCTTGCATGCTACAACTCCCGTTGATGATGTTACTCTTGCGTCTCTTCAGGACAAGGCGGACGACATCACTGCAGGGGTCAAGTCCACAGCGCTGCTCTTTGCCCACCGCACGCCCCTCTACCTCTCCCTCTTCGGCGCAGCATCCATCGCCAGCCTGGCTGCTGCTGGCTCTGCTGTCAACCTTGGTAATGGCCTGCCTTGTCATTGCTTTCCGTTGGTTCTCCCGTACTCCATTTACCTGCTAATGATTCTCATCCTCCTTCCCCTCAGCCTCCTTCTCTTTATCTTCCTTTGTGCTTCCTCTCTCAGCCCGTCATTCTCTTGTCTTTCTTCTCCTGTGGTCTCCTCTGGTGCGGTTCAGGCTCCCCATACTATGTGGCACTGGCAGCGGCAGGGGCACACATGGCCTGGCAGATAGCATCCACAAACTATGACAACCGGGAGGACTGCTACTCCAAGTGAGTCTGCTTGGTCTCCTCTGTGCCTCACTGGTAGTAGCAGCAGCAGCAGCATCAGCAAAGCAGCAGCAGCAGCAGCATCAGCATCACCAAAGCAGCAGCAGCTTCAGCAGCACACATGGCATGGCAGATAGCATTCACGAACTACGACAACCAGGAGGACTGCTACTCCAAGTGAGTCTTCTTCCACTCACTCTCTTGCAAGAATGTGAGCCCACTCTTACATCCCCGCTCTTTCATCCCCACTCTTACATCCCCGCTCTTTCATCCCCGCTCTTACATCCGCTGCTCTTTCATCCCCGCTCTTGCATCCCCGCTCTTGCATCCCCGCTCTTGCATCCCCGCTCTTGCATCCCCGCTCTTTCATCTACACACACCGTCTTAAATGAGTGTGCAACTGATGGCCCATGCTAGTGTTCCAAGGGTACCAAGCATTGAAATAAGTATGTAAGGCGCCTTCTTTGCATGTCAGCCAAAATTCGCAGGGTGTGTATCGATATCTACTGGTACTTTCCCGGCCCATCTTCCTCTTACCGGTATTCCTTCTTCCTTCTCAGGTTTGCTTCCAACTGGACATTTGGCGCTCTGGTCTTTGCTGGCATTGTGGCTGGCAAACTATGTGATAGAATAATTGTTTTGAGACGTCTCACCACTTTCCCTGCCCCTCCCTCATTCCATCTTCCTTTTCAGGTTTGCTTCCAACTGGACATTCGGCGCTCTGGTCTTTGCTGGCATTGTGGCTGGCAAGCTCTTTGGTGTGTGATCCTAGAAGGCGTTTAGTCTGCTGCACTGGGAGTGGCTGTTCCAGTGTGTAACAGAGCGTGTTCAATAACAAAATGGTGTTCACTGGATAATTCGTGAAGCACTTATGAGCCTATTGTTAGAGTAGCTGGAAAAGTGTGACTAAGGGAAGATGTCGAGGGATACAAAACTAGGGCTGTACTCGTTAAGAACTAAGTTAGCTATGCTGAAAACAAATATGACCCAGCTAATCTATATAACTAAATTTGTTGACACACCCCTTAGCCTAGATAGTGGTAGTTCATAACAAGGCAGAGTATACCAAGGCAGCACTACTAGTCTGACCTTTGGTGAAGGCAACAAGGCAACTCAGGGCAGTACTACTAGTCTAACCACTGAGACAAGAGGCTAGAAGGCCAGTCAACAAATGTAGCAAGGCATGCACGTAAAGAACAAGTACATTCAGGTATAGTATGATTCAGGATACAAGGAGTGGTGCTGCTACAGAGACTAGACCAAGCTGAATACAGAACCGCTGATGGTCAAAAGGCGCAAGTGCCTTGGTGAAGTTATCAGCGGTGTTGGCCTCTATGGCCAACTGTACCACTCGAGCCTGGCCGCGTTGCTGCAACTCACACAACAGGAAGTACCGCAGTTGGATGTGCTTCGCCCTGCCCTCAAGTCGAGTCTCTTGACACACGAGGATCATGGCCCAGTTGTCAGCAAACAGGACCGGGGCAGACCTAGGCTGCTCACCAAAGATTGTGAGTAAGAACGTCAGCCAGCGGAGCTCCTGAGCGGCCATGACCTCAGCGTATATCTCTGCCTCACAACTGGACTGAGCTACAGACGACAACCAAGTGGACCTCCACGAGACTGCACCAGCACCAAGACTAAAATAGTAGCCCTGAGACGACCTGAGCGTCTCCACGTCGTCAGCCCACGACATGTCGATGTGTCCAGTGAGCACCACTCGCTCCCGTCCTCCTAGCACAAGCCCCAGTCCTGATGTACTCGCCAGATACCGCAGTACCCTCTTGGCAACCAACCAGTAAATTGGTCGGTGCCTGTCTGTCACGACAAAGCGAGCAAGGAGACTGAGAGAGTACGCTAGATCTGGTCTAGTGCAGGTCATCAGGTATATGAGGCACCCCATTAGCTCTGCGTATGACCACTAGCCTCGATCGGCTCAGCCGAAACAGGAGCAGTGAGCTTGTGATCCACAGACAGAGGGGTGGGCTGTGCTGAGGAGAACTGGAGACTAAACCTCTAAAAGATCTGCTGCACCATATGGGACTGGGAGAGTATGATCGTGCGAGCGGCACAGTCACGAGAGATCTCCAAGTCCAGATAGTGCCTCAGCTTCTCCAAATCGGTACAGGTATATCTCCTAAGTAATTCGGCCTTCACTGAGGCTAGTGCGACTCTTTCAAGAGTAGCAAAGATAAGATCGTCTACGTACACTAGAATGTAGAGCGGTGTCTGACCCGTGCGAACAAAGAGAGAGGAGTCAGCAGATGACAGAAAGAGATGCAACTCAACAAGAGCGGTGCGAAGCATATCGTGTCACTCAGGGGGTGCCTGACGAAGGTCGCAGACAGGACGGCGCAAGCTCCACTCGGTCCTAGATGGGAAGGACCCAGAGAAGCCTAGAGGGCGCCAGAGGTAGATCTGCTCGTGCAGACTACCCTGCAGGAAAGTTGTAGAGAAGTCGAGTGAGTGAAGCTCGTAGCCACGCTGCGCAGCTATGTGGAGAAGGACCCGAAGATTAATCATCTTCGGGGTTGGGGAGAAGGTATGGAAGAAGTCCACACCCTCACGCTGATTGAAGCCTCTAGCCACGTAATGTGCCTTGAACTTCGGCGGCTCTCCAGGTGCGCGCTTCACCCTGTAGATCCACATGCCATCGACTACGTTTGCCCCAGGCAGAGGAACCGCGTCAACGTAAGTGCCTGCGGATGTGTAGGATGCCATCTCAGCCTCCATGACCTGTATCCACTGGGCTGCCAAGGGCCCCAACACCGCCTCAGCGTAAGAGTGCGGAACATGGATGTCGAGAGCATCTGGGTCGCCCTCTTGGGATACAAGCATGGAGCAGAGATAGGGAACAGCGGCAGCAAGGTAGGCCAACTCGTACTGCCTGTCCTCTAGCATGTCAATGCCAAGGGCAGATGCACCTACTACGATGTACCAGAGACCAGAGCGGCAGCATAGTCAAGGCGGTGGCTAGCGGCAAAGTCAGTGACAAAAGCGACAAGCGCAGAGACAGACTCAGGAGGTGCAGTAGGGTCAGTGACAAGCGACGCAAGAACGCACGAGAGGACTGGACAAGCAGTGCGAGCAGCGTCGGAGCGAGGAGGGGGGGACGACAGGAGCGACGACGAGGGAGGCAACGGGAGGTTTGTGACAAGAGGAGCACGTGAACAAAGGACTATAGGATGGACACTAGGACGGGGAGAGACAGGACGAGCACCAAAGGGGCGACGGACCCAGTAGGGAAGAATTAGGGACTGGGGACGAGGGGGAACGGGGGAAAAGTCAGGGGACAGAGGGGAGCGCGGGGGAAAACGAGCCAAAGAGGAGTCCGGAGGAGGGAACAACGGGCCGTAAACAGGGTCACGCACCAGAGGGGGAACGGGCGGGCGGATAGGGGAACCTGGAGCAAGACCAAGGAGACAAAGGGCAGACTGCGGCTGCTCCTACTGCGGCAGCTGCGCCTGCTGCTGCGGCTGCACCTCCTGCTGTGACTGCTGCTACGGCTGCTGCTGCGATTGCTGCTGAAGCTGCAACTGCTCTCTTTCCTCTCCAGGACCTCCAGCGGCACCGCGGCTGCCACCGGCACTCCCCGAAACAGCACCCCCAAGACTAGCACCCTCGGACGCACCACCCACAGAACCTGCACCCCCAGAACTCGCACCCCCAGAACCAGCACCCATACAATCAGCACCCCCAAAACTCGCACCCCCAGAACCAATACCCCCAACACCAACATGTCCAACACCAGCACCCCCAGAGCCCACTACTCCCTGCTGCTACTCCTGCTGCTATAACCGCTGAGTCTGCTGTGGTGGCTGCTGCTGCTGCTGAGGCAAGGGGGGATGCGGCTGAGGGGACTAGGGTACCAAGGTTGTGGGAGGTGCCGTAGGGACAGCAGGCGCGCCCCCAGCAGCTAGGTTCCCAGAGTCAGCCGACTCCCCCACAGGCGCAATCGAGGAGAACTGAGTGGTGTGGGAGACACCAGACTGGGTCAGGCAGGGCAGGAGGGGTGCGTCAGGCAAGGAAGGGACAAGGAAGAGAGGAGGAGAAGGCATAGGAGCGCTGCAGTGCGGGAAGCGCCAGTAGTAAGGGAGTGTCTCCTCGAAGGTAACGCCACGAGAGTGGAAAAAACAATGGTGTGACGGGTGGTAGAACATTCAGTCAGAGGCGTCAAGTGGAAACCCCAGGAAGACACAAAGAAGGGTGCGGGCTGAGAGCTTGTCTGCGCGAGTGTCGCGGACATGAGCAAGGCTGCCCCAGACATGGAACGCAGACGCGTCACCAGGAGACCGGGTCCAGAGGAGGGTCGGCGACTGTGGCCACTGGGAGTGTGGCCACAAGTTAAGCTGGTGAGCAGCGTAGCGCACAGCGAATGGCCACAGAAAATGGGGTGCAATGGCGTGGACTATAGAGGTGAGAGCAACCTCCATGATCAGGCCGATGCGTTACTCAGCGACCCCATTCTGCTGTAGGGAGTCCGGTGGTGTGTACGTCTGGCGGATGCCCTCCACATGACAGAATCGCCCTAGAGTGCCAGAGGTGAACTCGCCACCTCGGTCAGAGTGTAAGCGACCTTCAGGCAGGCGGTAGTGGGTGCAAACAGTGAGAAGCCATGGGAGGAGAACGGTAGGCGCGTCGGCCTTCCGCTCCAACAGGAACACTGTGGTGAAGCGCGAGAAGTCATCAACGACGACTAGAAAGTAGCGCTCCCGACTAAGACCATGGACCGGGGCAGGGCCCCAAACGCCCATGTGCAGTGTCTGTAGCGGCGTTGTGGTAGGAGGAAATGAGGAGGGGTGAGGGGCGGTGCGCTGTCGGCCCTCGACGCAGGACGTGCACAGTGGCGCTACTGATGTACGTAGGGTGGGGAGCGACGCACGGAGACCAGTGACTAGACCATGCTGGCACATGTGCCTAAGACGCGGGAGTGCAGGGTGACCTAAGCGGTGGTGCCACAGAAGGGTCGGGTGGGCTAACGAGCACAGGAGCAGAACGTGGCAACCGCGGCAAACGCAGCAGTCGGGGGGGACTCAGTGTGCAGTGTAAAGAGACCTTACCCTGGGTCAAGCTCAAAAGTGGCTAAGTGCCGACAGGTGGCTGTGTTTGTGCAAGCGGCGTGTCTCTCGTGGTCAGGGAACGTATTGGTGATGCCTTGGTCCTAAAGGTAACTGACACCCACAAGGTTCCTGGCAAACAAAGGGATGTGCAGACCGGTGAGGGAGCCGGAGGGGACAGCTGGACAGGGGAGAGTGGTGGTGCTACGTGCGACAGCTGTGGCGGAGGAGTCTGTTAGTGCGACGCGGACGTGCGAAGGAAGCAGGGTGAGAGCAGTGTTGTCCCTAAAGAATCAACAAGATGCCCCCGAGTCAAGGATAAAGGGGAGGGCCGCCGCAAGAGGGGCGGGGGAGGAGCTCAGGGGAAACGTAGTAGAGGCTCCTACACTAGACACAGCGGTGGGACCTAGACCCCTAGGCCCCAAGGCCCCCGGTCCTCCAGAGAAACCACAGTGGCCCCAGGGCAGTGACCGCCCTGGGGCCGCACCTCCAGAGCCCCCACCGCGCCCAACACCCTCAAGACCCCACTTCGGCTGCTGCTGCTGCAGCTGCGGCACTGGCCAAAGAGCCCGGAAGAAGACGCTGATGTCGTGGAGCCAGAAGCCAAGGAGGTAACTAATGTGATCCTCTAGGAGTGTGCAGTCTAGGTGCGGGCTCACCAGCTGTAGCCGGTGAGCGAGAAACTGAAGAGCGCCGAGAAGTGCCCAACGGTCTGGCCGAGGACAGACCCTAACGAGGCCATCATGCCGAGAGGAGAGGTAGCGAAGAACTATAAAAACGAGGAGGAGACTAGTGGGAGGCACTAGGTGCTACAGGAGCACTAACTGAGGTAGTAGCAGTGGCGACTGTGGCCGGAGCAGTGGCAGCGAGCAGGAGGCTAGTAGAAGCAGCGGCTAGTGGTAGGTTGACAGTAGCAGGAGCGAGTGACAATAAGACGGCAG